TGCCGACAACAAACAAAGTCAATCCTGGATGCCGTCGTGCCATGTGAAAAGGTAGCAGGGTTGTCAGTCATCCACGTGTTCAATGCAAGTAGAGAATGTTGACGTAAAAGATCATGGAGTTCATGTGAATCAGAATGTGCCGTGCCTGTGCATTTCTGTCCATCGTGCATGAACTGGCCGCAGCCCACCACTTTCGATCTGTTCCACAAAGAGGTGTTAAAATCACCCAAAAGTACCAGCAAATTGCGTTGTGGAATCTTGCACAACACATCGTTCAATCTGTCCAATAGAAATTGTCTTTTGTTCAGTCTGTCCACAGAAAAAACATGTTGATAGATGACCAAGAAATCAATGCTTCTGCTTTCCCCATGGATTCTGATGTGAACCAAACGTCCTGGGTCAATTTCAGTCCAAGATAACTGATGTGCCTGACACAATCGCTTTGATACCATGCACAGGATGCCAGCCTGACGACTTGAGAAACCGCTGTGTATGCAATGATACTGTGTTTGGGTCCATTCTGAGGTGAACTGCCAATGTGTTTCTTGCAGTGTGATGAAATCAACGTGTTGACGCTCAGCCCATTGTTGAAACATGTCCCATGTGGCCTGTGCAAGACCACCACTGTTCCAAGACATGCACAGTAGCCGTTGCCGTAGATGCTTCTTCGGCGGTGGCTGTGAGTTGCATGGAGCTGCAGGCCGCGTGGTCTGTGTCCAGCTGGAAGGCAGATGTTTCGGTGTGGTGAACAACTGCCCTTTGTACCAGGTAAAGCCACTGGCCAAGGAGCGTTTTACTGCTCTCCTATAGCTTCTCTTTGCGGTTGACCGCGCATAGCTTTTTGGTCCTAAGACCGCTTTGGGCTCCTCTCTATGTGCTTTCGTCACCAAGGGATACAACTCCAAGGTAACTCTCTCACCACCCATAGAAATGGTGAAACCCTCACCCCAAGGCACGCCGGCTGTCAGGATAGCAGTGATCACCAAAAATCTCCAAGCAATCCCACCGCTGTAGTGTTTGCGTGCCCCCTGGAATTGGGACCAGGTTGCGGATGATCTCCTTGTAAAACCAGTCCAGAGCCACTGCAAAATCGCTGTGAGAAACTGTGAATGCAAAAATCCTGTTGCTTTCGAAATCTGTATCCAATTCAAGGGCACTTTGTCCAGCAGGAATGGGAGCAGAAAAATCTCAAATGCAATCCACAGAAAAAACCAAATGATGTCTGTATAAGGGCCAGTCAGTGTGGGAGCCCACCCCGTGATCCACAAAAGGGCCAGTGAAAGAATCGTGATTTCCACAGGGAGCCCACCCCCAATTAAGCAAAGAAGCAGTGTCAAAAACGACAAGGAGGAAGAGGATCTGGAGATAGTGCCAAGCTGCCACAGCGCGCCTGACCACAGCACCGCACCTTTGATGGGTCAGATCAAAGGCTACCCCGCTCGCCGTGCCAGCGAAAAAGTACCCAAGAGCAGGCGGGGGGCAACGGCTGCAGCGAAATTGCAGGTCAATGACCCTGAGAGCGGTGTTCGCAACCGCAAAGGGGCTTGTGTGTGTGTGTGTGTGTGTGGGGGTGTGTGTGTGTGTGTGTGTGGGGGTGTGTGTGGGTGTGGGTGTGGGTGTGGGTGTGGGTGTGGGTGTGGGTGTGGGTGTGGGTGTGGGTGTGGGTGTGGGTGTGGGTGTGGGTGTGGTGTGGGTGGGGTTGGGTTGTGGGTGGGGGGGGGGGGTGGGGGGGGTGGGTGTGGGGGTGGGTGGGGGTGGGGGGTGCGTGGGCGAGTGTGTTGAGTGGTGTGTGCGTGCGGGTGTTGCTGTGCGTGGTGCGGGCGTGTGTGAGTGCGTGGTGCGCGTTGCGTGAGCGTGAGTGGGGGTGCGTGGGGGTGAGTGGGGGGGCGTGGGGGGGCGTGGGGGGGCGTGGGGGGGGGGGGGGGTGTGGGGAGTGTGTGGGCGTGTGTGGGCGTGTGCGCTGTGCGAGGTGTGCGCGTGGGGCGTTGTTGCGCGGGCTGCGCGGGTGCGCGTGTGCGCGGGTGCGGAGGGTGCGAGGGGGCGAGGGTGCGAGAATGTGGGAGTGTGGAGGTTGTGCGAGTGTGCGAGTGTGCGAGTGTGCGAGTGTGCGGGTGTGGGGGTGGGGGTGTGGGTGTGGGTGTGGGTGTGGGTGTGGGTGTGGGTGTGGGTGTGGGTGTGTGTGTGTGTGTGCGCGCGCGTTTTAAGCCATGCTTTGGGGCGGGCATGCTGGTGAGCGGATGCCGGTGGAAGGTGCTGCTTGAGGGTGCTGGCTGTCGGGCTCCAGGGTGATGCTTGAGGGTGCTGCAAGGAGGGTACGTATTGTACCCAACTCGTGCTGCAAGGGTGCTAGTGAAGGGTGCTGCTGCACGCTGCTGCTGGAGGGTGCAGCTGTTAGAGTGGCGTGTCCGCTCTGGAGCTGGCCTGCTGGTGCCGCTGCAGGGTGCGGCTTCAAGGTGCTGCAGTTAAAGCGGCGTGTGCGCTTTGGAGTTGGCATGTTGGTACCATTGCAGGATGCCGCTGCCCGTGGCCAGTGGTTGCGAAGAAAGATTTATGCTCACAAAACACAAGTTCTGATCTTGCAAATGTACCAAGGTTCAGAATTGGGAAGTTTGAGGTATGATTCGGGTATGATTCGGGGTATGATTCGGAAACCCCTTTCTTGAATTCAGGAAGCTTTGTTGCTTGAGTCTCTTTTTCCCACCGGCAACCTACCACGCCTGCTACTTAATGGCTGCAATGGCCAGGCAATGGCTCGACCTGTCAGGACCAGACCTGACCATGAAGAATATAAGATCTAAATAAAGACACATCTATGATTTATATCCGCCGGCCTGCCGGACTGTCTTCTGGATGTTCTTCTGATGTATACCCTTAGCTCAGCTACGGTTAGGCTAATGTTCCTCTTCGGCGGATTTTGGTTTGGCTGCCAGCCAGCCAGCCAGCCACGGCCGGAGTCATCCTCCTCATCAGGCTCATCGGCCTCATCAGACAACACAGCAAGCATGTCAAGTACATCAGGAGAGCCCGCCACCTACCAACTAGCCACCTAGCCAGCCAAGCAGCCAGCCAGCGGCCACCCAACCAGCAGCAGCAACTGCCGTAGCCACCTAGCCAGCCACGCAGCCAGCCAGCCGCCACTAGCCAGCCACTAGCCAGCCACTAGCCAACCACTAGCCAGCCACCTAGCCCAGAGCCAGCCAGCTTAGGGATAATGATGTGCGCGTGGAGAAGATTCACCACTCATGCCGTGAAGGTATGTGAAGGTAGCCAGGGAGTATCGGATCTGGTCCACACTGGTCAATTAGCTTGTCTGGTCCATTAAAACTAGTGAGGCCACTGCAATCCCAAACAATCCCAAAAGAAACATTCATAATCGTGCTCTTTGGGGTATGATTTGGGGGCATGATTCGGGGTATGATTCGGGGGTATGACTCGCACAACTCGAACACCATGCCTTTTCTAAAATCTGCACACGTTAGAAAATGTTAGAAAAAAACACAGCCATATGTTTATAATAATATTTTATTTATTTATTTATTTAAATATGCTATATACGTATATAGTTTATAATTAATTAATATTTATGTCGTCATACATGTTCTACGTCATGTCAAGTGGCTTCTCACGCTGGACGTACATGTACATGCCCACGCAAAGGCAGGAGAGAACTCCACCAGCACTGATGGACACCACCAAAATCACCTTGGCTGGGCCCATGATGGCCGGTGATGATCCATCATGTGTTGGTGGATCATCCTACCAGCCAAATATGAAATGATTTGTAGATGTTTGCCGAAGGAAGTTTAGAAGTCAAACTTCTGACAATATGGACAGATGGAAAAGCAGAGGTGGGAAGAGTCAGAGAAGAGAAGAGAAGAGAAGAAGAGAGGATCAGAGAAGAGAAAGAGTCAGAGGAAAGAAGATGCAGGTGCGCGAAAAGGTAGAAAAGTCGCGAAACACTGCGTTTTTCCATTGATTTGTGTCCCCGGAGGCTCGAAACGTAAACTCGCTAAAGCGGCGGGTGCGGAGCCATCTGGCCAGATGAGAGATGTAAAATTGCACGCCGTTGTGGCGCGAAGCACATTTCGAATCAAAAGCCAAAATGTACAAAACACAACATTCTCGGAGCAATTTTGGAAGTTGAGATCATGGAAAAGTGCACGCTGTTGTGCCGCAAAGCACATTTCGAAGTCAAAATGTGCAAAACACACCAAGTTCGGACCACCTTTGGACGTTCAGATGTCGTTTCGCGTGGCCGGCGCAAGGGATTCCGGACCTTGTCAAAAGTGAGCAAAACGCAAGGGTTTTGTAGCAGCTTCAAAAGCATTGGCAGGCGTGGGACATTTGAAGAGGATCTGCAAAGATGTATTTTCCGTGGCAGGCGCAATACAAGAGACATGTTAATCAGAGATTTTAGGAGGTCCGGGCGCCTGAGAAGGGTTGCATTTTGCCTGGAGCATCAGATCTTCAGTTTTGCTAAGATGATTTAGCGTGACACGTGCAGCACTTCGTATGACCTGGCCTCACTTTTTCGTGGCAGGTGCAGCACTTTAGACACATAGAAAGGAAAATTCGCAAAACCCATTGGTACAGTACGAGGCCGTCAGCTCTGCACGCAACTTTCTATTTTTGAATGAAGTCCCGCAGAACTGCTTTGTTTTTGATGTTGCCAACTTCAACAATGAGGACGTCTCGCGGAGTGCATGCAAATGTGCAACTAAGAGGGATTTGATGGAACGCAAAAACATAAAACATAGTACTGTTGGGGTGGTTTCGTTCAAGTTTCTAATGCTGCCCCTGTTTGCAATTCCCTGTTTGAGGGAGATGCATGTTCCTGTTGGCTCTAGAGTGGTCCAGGGGGCTGATGTTTTGGACGGGGTGCGGTTGCATTCCTCCGGTTCAACTTGGTGCGGTTGTATTCGAGTTGTGTTTGTTTGCCTCTTGTTTCCTCTTGATTTTGCCTTGTGCGTTCCTTGCCTTTCCTTTGGGAGCTAAGGGCCATGGACAGTGAGACCGATATGTCAGATGGTGAGATCAATCAGCCCGGGCTTTCTTCACTAGAGCTATGGCGCATGTTGCCGCGGGGTGTGCAAACTACATTTGGATCTGACGGCGCCTTATTGCCGGATGATGCCCTGGCATACCTTTTTGATACAGAAGAGGAATTGGTCTCCCTGTTGCGGTCAATACTTGGTGAGGGTGCAGAAGGGTTGCTGCAAGCGCGTCAAATAATGCTGGAATTGCAATGGCGCGCAGAGCGGACGATCCATTGCCTCCACAAGCGGCGGGCATTGGTCCCTTCAGAGATAAAATGGCTGTCGGCATTCAATACCGCAAAGCGCCAGTGTGTGGTGGCTAGCTGCGTGGTGCAAACAGTGCCGGGCCTGGCAGCGTGTGGGGCCTTGCGGCAGCAGGGCCGGTACAAGGCCCGCCGGGCCAGGGGCTTGGCGCGAGCTTCAGGAGAAGAATCTCGCCAGGCCATGGAAGCACAAGAGTTGGCGTGTTGCTGCAAGGAGCTTGCTTCCTTGATTGTGGATGCTGCATTGCCCGTGGTTGAGCCCATGGCCTTGGTCCGTGACCGAGACGCAGTGTTGCTTGGTGCGTTGGGCCCGGCTAGAGCGAGCACCATTCGCAAGCATGTCAGAGAATGGCGGAAAGCTCGCGCATTTTGCTTGTCAGTGTCTGGAAAGCCGTGGCCCGAACACATTGGGGTCGTTTTGGATTACCTGCATGAAAGGCGTCTGGAACCGTGTGCCAGCAGTGTGCCAGCAGCTTTTCTAGCAGCCTTGTCGTTCATTGAAAAGGTCGGCGCAGTCCTGCGCGTTTGTCTGAAGCTTCTTTGTTGCGAAACACAGTCAACCAGCTGACTGCTGACTTGGAAAGCAAGGCGCCGCCCAAGCGACAAGCGCCCATGTTCCCGCTGTCTATCATAGGGGCGACAGAGTTAGCTGTCAGTGATAATTCTTTGCCTACTTGTACGCGTGGGCTTGCCTTTTACCAATTGTTGAAGCTTTGGACTGCCAGCCGCACCAATGATTTATTTGGCTTGAACCCTGGTTCATTGCGCTTGTCAGAGCATGGCCTTCAGCTTCAGGGCACATTGGACCGCACCAAGTGCAGCGGTCCCGGGAAGAGGATCCGATTTTTTCCTATCTTCATCAGCCGCCGCGTCTTCGTAATGAACCCAAATTGGCTGGTGGACGGCTGGGCCATTTGGCAGCAAGAGAGCATGGGGTTTCAGCGAGACTATTTGTTGCCGCTGCCTAGGGCAGACCACCCTGGTGCAAGGCGCAGCTTGGCCGACTACGCGCGCAGAATGGCATTGAACAAAGAATTCCTCATCCAGTTGCGTGTGCCTATGTGGACGGATGAAGTTTGGGCCTCGTCATCTGATCATCTCTTTTCCTTGCGTGGTACCTTGGCTTTTTGGACGGAGCATTCAGAGCGGAACTGGCTCATTTCAGTGTTGGCTAGCATTGGAGTGCAGCGTGAAAAACGTGAGTTCATGGGCCGGTGGCGTGCAATTTCTGCTTCTGACGAATATCTGCGAACTGCAAAAGCTATGGTAATTCCCCTTCAGGAACAGGCTTTGGCAGGCATGCTGCGCGATGAGCGGTGGAATCTGCAAAATGGTGGCTTAGAAGATTTGACTAAATTTCTGATAGCGCGTGGTGTCCGCCAGTGTGGCAGCATCACAAAAGGACTTGCTACAGCTACCCCAACAGTGGCATCGGGGGCCGCTGCCACCAGCCCCTGAGGAGGAGGTGCCAGCACTGAGACCTGCCATTCCTACATCACTTGAACAGGACCGCGAGTGTGTTGATTTGCCTTATTTCATTGCCATTGTAGGGAAGAAACTTTTGCGCCGCTTGCATCGACGTGGAGGCTGCGGCACTGACCCGGCTGAGTTGCATGAGGTTGAATGGGTGGAGACTCTTCAAGGCGCGGTGCATGATTTTTCCTGTAAACATTGCTGGCGCAAGGAGGCCTGCCCGACAGATATCCATGCTTGCGAAGCGAGTTCTTCCAGCAGCGAAAGCTCCAGCTCGAATTCTTCTAGCAGTAGCTAGCTAGTGTGTGTGACCCCCGGGCATGTGATTCTCTAGGGTGGAAAACCTAAAGGGAGGTATCCCTTGCGGTTGGCTTGCTGTCCCAGGTTAGTGTCAGGTATCTGCACTTTGGGCCAGCGTCAAAATCGTGTCACCCAGCGATTCCAATTTCTCTTAGAGATTTGGGTGTTGAAATAAGTTTGGATTAGTCGTTGCCCTTGCAAACAAGAAATAAACCTGTGCACACATTTATAAACACACCCATTTTCCTGATGGCTATGGCTCAGAGTGCAGTCAGCGTCTTGCGTCAACACACTCCAGAGCGCTCACACGTTTCCAGCTGGGATCCAAGGCAGGAGTGTGATCGAGGTGTTGGTTTGTTTAAAAAATAAATAAATATATATATAATATATATTCTGCGCACAACTTTCCATTTTTGAATGAAGTCTCGCGGAATTGCTTTGTTTTTGATGTTGTCAACTTCAACAATGAGGAAGTCTCGCAGAATTGCTCCGTTTTGACGCTGTCAAGTTGGAAAATTGTGGACGTCTCGCAGACTTGTTGCGTTTTTGATGCTGTCAGCTTCGAAAATGGAGGAAGTCTCACAGAATAGCTTCGTTTTCAAGCTTGCAGATAGACAGAGAGACAGATAGACAACCACAACCACAACTACATTACGCTACTACAAATACAAATATACTACGCTACATTACACTACACTAATTCACCACACTACACTAATTACATCTAACCACACTACACTAATTGCACTACAACTACAACTACAGCTGCGACAACAACAACAACAACAGCAACAACTACTACTACTGCTACTACTACTGCTGCTACTGCTAATGCTACTGCTGCTACTGCTACTACTGCTACTACTGCTACTACTGCTACTACTGCAACAACAACAACAATAATAATAATAACAACTACTACTACTACTACTACTACTACTACTACTACTACTTACCACCACCACCACTACTACCACCACTACTACCACCACTACTATTACAACTACCACTACCACTACCACTACCACCAATACTACTACTGCCACTACTACCACTACTACCACTACTACTACTACTACTACTACTTCTACTACTTCTACTACTTCTACCACTTCTACCACTACTACCACTACTACCACTACTACCACTACTACCACTACTACTATCACTACTACTATCACTACTACTATCACTACTACTATCACTACTACTATCACTACTACTACTACTACTACCACTACCACTACCACTACTTCTCCTACTTCTCCTACTTCTCCTACTTCTCCTACTTCTCCTACTTCTCCTACTTCTCCTACTTCTCCTACTTCTCCTACTTCTCCTACTTCTCCTACTTCTCCTACTTCTCCTATTTCTCCTATTTCTCCTATTTCTCCTACTTCTCCTACTTCTCCTATTTCTCCTACTTCTCCTACTTCTCCTACTACTCCTACTACTCCTACTACTCCTACTACTCCTACTACTACTACTACTACTACTACTTCTACTACTACTACCACTTCTACCACTTCTACCACTTCTACCACTACTACCACTACTACCACTACTACCACTACTACCACTACTACCACTACTACCACTACTACCACTACTACCACTACTACTACTACTACTACTACTACTACTACAACAAGTACAACCGCGCTACATTACACTACGCTAGACTAATTACACTGCAGCACGCTACAACTACAACTACACTACATTACACAACACTAGGATACACTAATTACATTACATGACGCTACAATTACAACTACCACTACATTACACTACACTACACTAATTACACCGCACCACAACTACAACTGCAACTGCAGCGACACTACACTAATTATATACATTACATTACAACTACAACTCCACTACACTACACTACAGCTACAACTACAACTGCACTACACCACACTACATTCAGCAGTTGTGGTGAGGTGACCACTGCAACCACTCCAAAAAACACAACTCCAACCACCTTGCGGTCCATCAGTGGAGTCGCTCTGCCATCTCTGATTCATAACAACCAACCGCTCCTATAGGTTTCCTATTCTTGAAACTTCTGCCACCGCCTTGCGCGGTACTACTGGTAGATGGTACATAGTACAAATGTGTTTACCCGTAGAAACCCATGCGTTCGTGCCTTATTTGATCCTGTTTGGTGCCTTAACAGGAGAACTCCCCATCCCCAACCGCCAGGAATCGATGATCATTGAGCTGGCGGTCCAGGTGGGTGGTGGCTCCGTGGTCGTGGTATCAGGGGGCGCGTCCACCATCAAAGGACCAAGGGCCACGTGGGCCCACATCTGTCCTGCAACTGTTGAAAAAGGCACTGTAGGCGGGGGTTGAAAATGGCAGAAAGCATCAGAAAGCGAACTAAATGAACTAAGTCTATGAACATCTATGAACTAGGCTGGAGTTGGTGTGGTTTGCCAAGGTTCACTGGAGTTTATGGTCAAATCGCAACCATAGGGGAATCTATAAACAAGGCAACCGGTTGACTCGGCGCCCTTGTAAGGGTGACGAATTTGAAATTGTCATTTTTGAGGGTAAGAGAGAAAATGCTGGTATTTGCAGGAGTCGTCAAAAAATGTGTACAACATGGACATTCATTTCGATTGGCAGGCATGTGACTCAAGGGTGAAAATTTGAATTTCGCCTGCGCGGTGACTCGATTTTTCTCTTCAAGGGTGAAAAAAACATTAGAATTTTATGATTTTAAGTCATCCAAATCACATCAATCAAGGCGGTATTCAATCCTCTTTTTTTTCCACTGTTCGAGGTTAGCGGTGCCAGAGTGCTTGTGGCAGTGCTGATGCTACAGTCTGTAACAAGGCAGCGTTGTGACGCCAAGTCCAGCTGTAAGCATAACTGTACCGTTTTTGGTACACCTGTTGTTTCTTTTGTGGAGCATGGATTGAGGTCACCATTTTTTTAAGTGTTTCCAAGTTCCATCAAGTTGTTGAGTTCCAGCAATAATGGTTCTAGAGGAAATCCAACCACGACCAACATAGGTTCACGCAGGAAATCCGCAAAAAGCGCGTCAGACAATGCAAGATGTCAGCAACGGCAACCTCTTCTGTAACGTAAAGGAAGTGCTCGATACGAACGTTAACATCCCCCCCCACCCCCCCTGACGATCATACGACAACAAATGCAACATGTGCCTCTTCCGTACCGTGAGGGAAGCGCTCGACACGAACGTTAACATCCCCCCCCACCCCCCCCTGACGATCATACGACAACATATGCAACCTGTGCCTCTTCCATGTGCAACACGTTAAAAAATCGAAAATTTCAAATCCTATACCCCCATTTCGGAAAACCTCATTTTTGAAATTTGCAACCCTTCCACGGGATCGTAAATGGCACATCTCAAAATCGACAACCCTTCCAAGGGCGCCGTATCAGCCGCATGCCATAAACAACCTTACAACAACCATGCAACTAGGGGGCACCAGCTTGTGCGAGTCAGCCCAGGAAACATGGCATGATGAGCCCCACAAACCCCGGTTTCTCCACCGGGCGAGGGGCCTGGGGTCAACGGAAAACCCTAAACCCTAAACCCAACAATTTCAATGTGCAGTGTCTGTGAAACCGTTTTTTTGGCCAATCAAAAAGAAATGGATTTCTATTTCCGCACACCAGAGGTACTCATCGCTGCTCGGTTTGTGGGCGGCAATGAGCGTTTTTTTTCGTTTTTTCTCTGTAGGTCTCTGCCACATGTCGTTCTTCCCCCACTCGATCTGGACAACATCAAAGACACCCGCAAGAGGTGGAAATGCTGGGCACCCGTCGTTGCCTTTTGGACATGTAGTGTTCCAATTTTCGTGGTGTCCCACGCTCGGAGGATTTACACCGCTAAGCTCTAGGTTGCCCTGTTCGAAGTCTTCAAGATAGTTACCAATGTTTGGGGGAAATGATGGGAAATGATAGCAAATGGTGGGCCCAAGTTTCGCCATGAAAGGCGCATTTGAAGCCTTCGTTGCTCCAGGAACCGTCCCATCTCTCAATCTTCCTGAGACACCACTGGCGCGGCCAGTCGCAGGGGATGTGGGGAGCATTGTGCTATGGGGTGCCAACCCCCTTAAATCGGAACGTGCACAGTGGACGAGAAAAAAAACACGTCCCAATTACTGTAATCCCTTCCCCCCAATAATAACCCCCCCAAAGTGGCCATCAGGCACCTAAAATGAAGAGGGTACTAAATTATAGTTTCTGGGAGTGTGAACCTCTTCATTGGTTTGGTTGAATGGGGGGGTTATAAACAAAGGGAAGGGATTAAGCCTAAGCTGCTCTGTGGTGGCAAGCTTTGGCAGGCTATGTCCTGCGTGCCTGAACTCATTCATTTGGACCTCGCTCGTCTCGCGGGGTTTTCTCGCTCTGCTCCGAGCTGCAGCTGCCGAAATCAAGTCCCGAAAACGTGGCTGCTTCGATGAAAAGAAGATGGAAGAAACTTCTGAATGACTTCCGATGTCTTTCTCTATATGACTTATATATCTTTTTCGGGCTTCCCCTCCAGGCACGCCACAAATGTTGGAGCCAGCAGCTCAGCTTTGGAGAAATTGTGCATCTAGACAGAACCGCGAGTCATTTGAAAAAGGACATGCCTCTGGCAACTCCATAACGCGGCTATGCAGTGGCTATCTGATAGTGTTTATCTGCTCCCCACAATTAATTTGTTTATCATGAGTCCATTTTACGGTCTCACTTTCGGACTCAACTCCCATGGTAATGTAAGTTCTTCCGAATTATGCTTCTTTTCGTGGTATTCACATAGCATCATATAACATGAATATCATGGCCTGACTATATATATATACCCATCATCCAAGCACCTCCTAAGAATATGGCTCCAAAGTCGGACACCAACTTCCTCTTCAGCATTCTTCAGCACTACACCATCCAAGTATCAGGCATTTTTGCGGTTTCATAACTTAAGCCGTAATATAAGAATATATAGTATACGTTTTAAATATTTTGTTTATTGATTGTAGCGATATTCTCGGTCTAATTGGAATGTTTTAAAACTGTGCGTTGGAATCTGGGTTGCATGGGGGAGACCCCAAAAGCATCCAAACATGGTGTTCCGAACACGGAAGAACCTTGGATTTGGGGCTCCTCCGTTTTAAGAAACCAGCACTTAAATTTAGGTGAACATGTGTGGGAATGCTCACGGGCCTGAATTCTGGACCTTTGGTTTCATTGACTCATATTACCCTCTGGTTTTTTAATGTAGCTATGGAAAATTGCACATTTATAGGCGATTTATGATGATTTGCCTGTTACAACTGGATTTTCCATAGCTAAAAAATTAAGTGAAATAACCAAAGGGTATATCAATCTGTTCTTGTGCTTGCCTACATCACGTCTGTAGAGATAAGAAGGACCGAAGGCCGAAGGACCGCAATGAATTTGTCGATCTTAAGCATCTCGATTAGTAAAGCCATCCCTGTCCGAACCTCGTCACACAAACACGCAAATTCCAAACCATTCATGATATGAATATGATATGCATGGGCTCAATATATTTCAGCAATTATGATGCTATGTTTCATTTGCTTCTAAATCATTCTGATAATTTTATCCATCACTTCTTGAGTACGCCACTCCTTCAAACACCAGCTTTCAGCTGCGCGCCGTGGGAAAAAATTATCCCACGGCCTATTTGCAGCTGGCCTTACCCGAGGGGCACCAGTCCCCCTTGCCATCACGACAACCGCAAGTAATCGGACACATCACGGTGCCCGGGCGCTGGCCATCCTTGTGACTGCCTCAGTTGGTGGAAACTTTCGGCCTAAAAAATGCCGTCCCCATTTGATAGCCATAACATACCATTAACTGGCTGGTGGGGAAAAATTACGATGGATTTGGATGGATTCGAGTGGATTTGGATCGATTTGGGGTATTGCCTCATCTTTAGTCAAACCATGTCAAACCCATATTCTTGCATTACACTATCTTTTCAATGCTTCTCGGTTAGCGCATTTCTGGCAAGATCAAGCTGATGCTTGGGGCCCTGGCTTATTCGGTTATTGGTTTCCAGTGCAGAAACTCCCATGGACCATGAACTGCTCCATGACTAGCGAATTCTCCCAAAAGGTGCCTTTTGGGTCCATAGATGGCTCCATTTTTTCTCCAATCTTGCTGCCAAAAATCAGAAGCTGCCTGCAATCCAATCTTTGGAGCTGAGGAAGGAACCTGAGTTGCCCCAGAGTATCTGGATGTTGTCAGGTCCTGCGTCCTCTCGTGATGAACATCCCCAAGAAGCTGGCGGTGGATGTTTTTATGTGGGGTCCCAAAAAAATCGGGGCTTGTCATGGACCTTCGGCCGGCTGGGAGAAGCTCATTTTCATCGCAGAGTGGTCAAATCTGCAATGGCCTGTCACCCAATAACATAAACAAGTGTCTCTTCATTCTCTTCAATCTCTGAGGTCAAAAGCCTTTGCTCTCCAGTCCAGTCAATTTTGCCCCGGTCGCCGGTTGATCAAACAGTGGTGAAACAGTGGTGGGATCATGTGGCGGCCTCCCTTGCGATGCCATGGGGCAATTGCCAGGTGCTCCACTCTTGGCAAATTTCATCATCGCATTGTCCTCCGACCATGTGCCCGTGTTCTTATCGTAGAAGCCTTTCCACCAGCGTTGCCACACCTTTGACTTGTGGATATCGGGAGATTCCACGCACTTGGTCGTGTTGAGGCTTCCTTCAAACCTGAGTTTCTCGGCCAGTGACCCAGCCAAAACATGCCATAACCCCACTTAAATTATGGTTCGGGAAAACTGTTTCAAAACTACTTAAAGTGACAATTTGTGAAGGAAATGATCATGCTCCTTGGATCTTGGCGTGCCCTATTTTCGGACAACCTTGGACCTGTACGGGATTCCTCCCAAGTCCCTTTGTTGGGTTGGTCACCAGACTCAGAGATTTCGCCCAAGCAACTCTTCCTCCTTTTGGCACAGCTGCCGGCACCCATTGTCCACAAAGAGTCCACTGTCCGGCTGGGTGCAACCACAAGTCCTCGGACAGTGAACACACCAGCTAAGATCCCTCAGGACTATGCAGGAGAAATTCTGACCTTGGGCTATCCCACCGCCAGTGCCCCGATCGGACCAGTTGCTGTGGGCATAACATCCGCACCAAAGGCACATCCTTCTTGTCGCAGAATGGTCGCGCCTGGGCCGGACTTTGGATCTGGATGGATCTGGCATCTCTGGTTGCTCCTTTAAGATGCACCAAAAATGAAAATCATTCCGGTTGGTTGGTTGGAACACCTCTCCAGAACGCTTCCTCAAGCTCAGTTTTATCACCAGAGTCCACTCCCATCGCTGCCTCCTGGCAGCTGGTTGCACCCGTGAGAACCTTCACAGTGGACCACACCCAATCTGCCTGGCACAGGGCTAGCGGAGTTACAGTGTGTGTTTTCATGCCGTGCTGTGACCTCGCTCGTATCATCATGTCATCCGACCAAAAGGAACAAACCCCGATTTCATTTCAGCAATTCAGTACCAAACTTAGGGGGCTGCAAAAGAAGCTGATGGGGCCTCAAAATAAGACGTGTTAAGTGCTACCTACAAATGGTCACCCAACCTGAAAGTCTCAACAGGTTTTGCACTTCTAGACTCAAACTGTGATGTTCGGGATAGGTTCCCGAAATTCTGAGCCATGTTGCCAGCCCAAACCATCCAGTTGCCACGGGCGCCTCCCAATAGCTTTCATCCCAAGGCATATCTTTGCAGAACCTCAACATGTTGTGTTGCAACCTTTGATGATGGAAGCCGTCTTCTACACAAAAAACTTCACCAAAGAGATTCTCCCGCCGCGCAAGTACTGACAGATATGTAAGTCCGGATGCACAAACGTGCGATTGGTAAGTCGATTCTGCTTCCGCGGAGCTTCCGCGAAAACAAGCTCGTCGGTCCTTCGGATGATCAGCGATTGCTTCTGCAAACGCTTCCGTGCGCTTCCGGACGTAGGTTTCACTTCCGCGCGCCCAACTTGGTTTCATCCCATTTCTGACTTGGAGGTTTTTGATGCTGCTCAACTAATTCTTGGCATTTCTGGGCCATACAGATCCGCGCAGATCCATTGGTAAGCCGAGAAGTCCTGCATTTCTCCCAGTTCAAACCCGCAACTATTACTACACAGGTTTTGGGCTCCCAAGCAGCCAACCAAACGGGCAAACAAAGATCGCAGAGGGCCTCTGGAAAAAAAAAAAAAAAAAAAAAAAAAAAAAAAAAAAAAAAAAAAAAAAAAAAAAAAAAAAAAAAAAAAAAAAAAAAAAAAAAAAAAAAAAAAAAAAAAAAAAAAAATCTTCTGGCATTCTATCTGACATATCTTCTGGCATTCTATCTGGCATATCTTCTGGCATTCTATCTGGCATATCTTCTGGCATATCTTCTGGCATTCTATCTGGCATATCTTCTGGCATATTATCTGGCAAATCTTCTGGGATTCTATCTGGCATATCTTGTGGCATTCTATCTGAATTTTATGTGGCATTCTATCTGGCATTCTATCTGGCATATCTTGTGGCATTCTATCTGGTATATCTTCTGGCATTCTATCTGGCATATCTTCTGGCATTCTATCTGGCATATCTCATGGCATTTTATCTGGCATATCTTCTGGCATTCTATCTGACATTCTATCTGGCATATCTTCTGGCGTTCTATCTGGCCGTTGAGGTCCAGCGGTGCACACTGAGCTGGGCAGGTCCCAGGTTGAGGTCCAGCGGTGCACACTGAGCTGCGAAGGTCCCCGGTTGAGGTCCAGCGGTGCACACTGAGCTGGGCAGGTCCCAGGTTGAGGTCCAGCGGTGCACACTGAGCTGGGCAGGTCCCAGGTTGACGTCCAGCGGTGCACACTGAGCTGGGAAGGTCCCAGGTTGAGGTCCAGCGGTGCACACTGAGCTGGGAAGTTGGCAAAGAGCTTGGCGAAGAGAGTTGGCAAAGAGCTTGGCGAAGAGTTGGCAAGGCGGAAGTGCGGGTGGAAGTTGATGCTGACATGGTCGAGGAGAAACTGGAGGAGGAGGCGGAGGAGGAGGACGAGGAGGAGGAGGACAGCTAGCCGAGGAGGAGAACAACTTTGATAAAATCTAACAACCCTCACCTGGCAGATGGGGAAAAAACACACACGCACACACACACATACATATACATATATATATATATAGTATAGGACATACACTTAGAACACAAAGTGTTTTCCAATTTTTTTTCATACACTTAGAACACCGTTTTGCTGCCGGAGAAATTCACCCCAACTGTTCTAAGTGAAGGCTTAGAACATGTTCTAAGTGAGCCACTTAGAACATTATCAGAAACGTGTTAGAACACATCTTATTTTTCTAACATGTGTTCTAAGTGTAGGCCCCTGCATGTAAATATATCATTTTGCAAAATATTAGGAAATATATATATATATATGTGTGTATTTTATATAGTAAAGGATTCATACAGAAACCCTGCATCAAATATAATTGGCTTAAAACCTAATAATCGCATTGAAGTGATATATAACCACCATTCCCAAAAGATATTTCCAATTGGATAATTTTCGGTATAGCTCAATTTGAGATGATGTGAAATGACCTCCACATGTGGCCCAAATGATTATTTAATGGGATGGTTTATTTTTGGGATTATCATATTGATTATCTATGTATCCATTGACCCCCTGCCGAAGGTTGTACCAATCCTTTACATAATTGAAATTACGGACATACACTTAGAACACATAAATTACCCCAAAGTGTTCTAAGTACCTTTTAGAACATGTTCTAAGTGTATGTTTTTTTTAGGTGTTCTAAGTGTATACTTAGAACACATTCCGCTGCCGAAGTTTCCACCATGCGTTTTCCAAATGGTGTTCTAAGTGTATGTCCTGAACTATATATATATATACGTATACATATGTATATATAATATATATATATATATGAACATGAAAAGAAGCAGAAGCACCCACGATGTTCTCCATACTGCAATTCTCTTGGCACCAATGGCAGACACCTTCCCAATCTTATCTCATGTCGTCCCAGTAGCGTGCCGTAACTCTTGGACCCATAGCCGGTTTCCTCTGGTGCTTGCTGGTCGCTCATCGCCAACCATTTTTGCAAATCCTTGGGCGCAGCTCAAGGGGTCTGGGTGTTGGTGGCCCTCTCGGACCAAAAAAACTGGGTCGGCCTAGTTTAACTGGTCTTGGGCTGCAAATAAATCCAACCTACACTGCCAAGGGGATCCATCTATCTTCCTGCTGCCTTACAAACGTGATCTGCTCAAAATTCAATGCAAATTAGCTTCATGAAGTCCCGCACAGAGAGGGTTGCGGTCTGAGTCGGCAACCAAAAGGTCTGAGTCGGCAACTATGAGTCGGCAACCAAAAAAGGGCTGAGTCGGCAACCAAAACGAGTCTGAGTCGACAACCAAAAGCGCTGATTCGGCAACTTTGAGTCGGCAACTAAGAAAGCGCTGAGTCGGCAACTAAGAAAGCGCTGAGTCGGCAACCAAATTACTTTACTTCGTGTGATCCCCACCATGACATTTATACATTTTCTTACTGGCAAATCTTCTGGCATTCTATCTGACATATCTTCTGACATTCTATTTGGCATTCTATCTGGCATATCTTCTGGCATATCTTCTGGCATATCTTCTGGCATTCTATCTGGCAAATCTTCTGCCATTCTATCTGGCATATCTTCTGGCACTCTATCTGACATATCTTCTGGCATTCAATCTGGCATTCTATCTGGCATATCTATCTGGCATATCTTCTGGCATATTTTCTGGCATCTTCTATCTATCTGGCATTCTATCTGGCATATCTTCTGGCATATATTCTGACATATCTTCTGGCATTCTATCTGGCATTCTATTTGGCATTCTATCTGGCATATCTTCTGGCATATCTTCTGACATTCTTTCTGACATTCTTTCTAACTTCTTCTTCTGCACATTCTTTGTCCCATATCTTCCTACATGAGGTCCGGCAGGGAACACTTGGCATGGATACCCGCGGTTGAGGTCCGGCAGGGAACACTTGGCATGGATACTCGCAGATGAGGTCCGGCAGGGAACACTGGGCGTGGCTGGTCGTGGTTGAGGTCCGGCAGGGAACACTGGGCGTGGCTGGTCGCGGTTGAGGTCCGGCAGGGAACACTGGGCGTGGATGGTCGTGGTTGAGGTCCGGCAGAGAACACTGTGGATCGCGGGTCGCAGTTGGACGAGGACGACGAGGACGACGAGGACGACGAGGACGACGAGGACGACAAGGACGACAAGGATGACAAGGAGGACGAGGAGGACGAGGAGGAGAGGAGGAGAAGGAGGAGGACGAGGCAGGAGGAGGCAACTGACATAAAATCTAACAACCCTCACCTGGCAGGTGGGGAAAAAGCGCCATTTCGGCAACCAAAAACCGAAGTCCTCTAAAACCGAAACCCCCCCAACCAACACCCAGCGTAGGAACACCTATGTCACGTCAATGAAGATGTTCCATGAGGAACGCACTAGCAAGAACGTTATCACACCCCCCCACCCCCCCCACCCACCCCCACCCACCCCCCCCCGAAACCCCCCCAACCAACACCCAGCGTATGAACACCTATGTCACGTCAATGAAGATGTTCCATGAGGAACGCACTAGCCAACACCCAGCGTATGAACACCTATGTCACGTCAATGAAGATGATCCACGAAGAACGCACTAGCAAGAAGGTTATCACATCCCCCCCACCCCTCCACCCTTGGCCTTTATTTTTGGTTGCTGAAAAGGTCCTTGTTTGGTTGCTGACTCGGTGCTTTCTTGGTTGCTGACGCGGACGTTCTTGGTTGCTGACTCGGACGTTCTTGGTTGCTGACTCGGACGTTCTTGGCTGCTGACTCGGTCAGTTGCTGACTCGGCTGCTTTAGTTGCTGACTCTTGGTTGCTGACTCGGTTGTTCGTAGTTGCTGACTCGGTTGGTTTTAGTTGCTGACTCGTAGTTGCTGACTCGGTTGGTTGCTGACTCGGTCAATGTTCGCACAGAGAGCTTTGCATGATTTGGGGACCACATTCCAAAGACCCGGGGAGTCATCACGACTATCACCATCAGCATCATGAACGGCTGGAAGCCAAACATGTTTTGTTCATCTAACCTTAGATTGTTTGGACGCCCCGTAAATGTAACCGTCTATCAATTTCTAGAGGGATACAGCATGATACAACATTTCATCATATTTCGAAGCGACTTGGGCAAGACTAAGGAGCCAGACTGGGGGCGAGACGAGACAAGGCCTCACATTAGAAGTGAAACTCCGGAATCGCTGGGCTCGGGCGAGGAAACTTGGGACGACAATAGGCGCGAGACTGGGCAAGCGAGACTCAGGCTAAAAGATGGCTAGACCAGGCGAGACAATGGACGTCGTTTCTGCGACATCAAAGGTGCACAGTTTGACGATGATGCGAATCATCTTGGCCTCCCGAGTTTCTGGTCTGTTTAGCTCAGCACTCAGCTTTGAGCCGGTATGCCGAGGCAGCAGGACGCTTGGCACGCATCGCGTTGGTAGATGCAACTCCATCATACAAGATGTGCTTGACATAAGTGTGAGATAGAGAAGCTCTCAAAACATATGGTCAGTTAGTTGATGTTTTTGAGAGACAGCTATATGAGTTTGCAGAAGCTGATAAAGCTATCCAGCCTCATTTCGCACAGAAGTCCGAAGGACATCTGCCACCCAGGGGACAGCATGGGACAGCTGGGGTTGGGTTGCACGCGTCGCTCTCCCCAACAGTTGTGTTAAGTGTAATGGAAATGGAGCAGATGGGAAATTGTATATACCATGATATGCCTGTTTCGGAAGGTGATCCACTGTTTTGCCACCACAAATCCCACCAAAGGCTGATGCATCACCGCACTTTGGGAGATTCGTTCTGCCACCCTTCCGCTGCTAAGTCACCCCCACAGAGGGTAAGTGCTTCACGGCCAAATCCCCTCGACCTGGGAGGTTCACGCGCCACATCCATTTTTTTACCTGCCAAGCAGCAATGGGATGCTATGGGTCAAGTGTGGTCAAACTCAAAGACCCTGAAAGCAGCATTTTGTTGCAGGGATACTGAGCTATACAAACTACAGGGGTGCCCAATTTTGATCCTTTCATATTCTGTCCCAAATGATACAGTAATCAATTGAGGTTTCATGTGGCAAGGCCCACCGATTTGAAGACCCCAAGATACCCCAAGCATCTACCAAATATGGAAGGAAAGCCTATATGGAATGGAAAGATAAAGGCTGCTGACGGTTTCTGCGGTTTCTCCTGTTTTAATTGGGGCATACCCAAGTGAGCTTCCTTGCGCCTTTTGGATCCTTATTTGTTGGATACAAAAACCGCTTCAAGTTCAGCTGTTTCAACCCATCCCCGAAATATTGTCATTGAGCAGCGTTATCCAAATATGGTTGGTTGTCAAAAGATGTCTTGGAAACTACCTACCAAATTATCCAAATTTTAATCGTTATATACCCATCATATCCCAGTAAATCCATCCTGGTGGGCGCCCTCCCCCCTGCCGCTGCCAACCCAACCTGCTCGGGGCTGAACTGAAAGACCACATCAGTGACCTGTGCTTCGTGCAAGGCATCAATGTGGATTTGCCGATTAGGGAGCCGCCAAAAATATTCCCCTGCCAAATACCAAGAAAAAAACCTTGGTGAAGTATTAGATCTTGCGAACAGATTAATCCCTGTTCCGGATATGTGGTTTACTCACTTGTTTGAGTTCCTGCTGTGCCGTTTCCAACGTTTCATGCGATCATAGCGGAAAGCAGCGGTCTTTTGTTTACTGCGTTGGGGTCTTGAGCCAAACATTGCGTTTGGCCGAAGGTCCATTGAAATATGTGGGAATGAGTTATGCTGTACTCCCACCTAGTCCCCATTTGCACCCCCCATGTTCGGTATTATGTGGATTTACCGAACACGAAGGATGGGAACTTATTAATTTTCCGCTGATGTACATGTGCCTGAATTAGCTACTGATGTGGTTCATCCTCACCGGGCACTCGCTGAGCGTTACCGGATCGGAATCCCCACGATGTTACTGACTTCGCAGCTAGCTAACGGCATCTGTGCAAAAGAAAATGGTTGGAAACTTCGAATTGGGATAATGGATTTCGAATTGAACTTGGTGAAAAGAAAACAACTAAGCTAATCCTGTACAGGGCCTCCCTCAGAGTCCTCTCACCAGTCATTCTTTGGGATGATCATCAATGAAGATGGAGTGCACCACATAGTGCCCAGACATCACCATTACCGGGCGCTCGCTGAGCGTTACCGGTTCGGATCAGTCAGTGCGTTTCTTCTTGTATTGAGGTGCTGGATGTGATTTGTCAGCAGGAGATGGTCGGGATGATTTCGCTGACGTTGGCATCTGCTTGGGTGCAGGCTTGGCTTTTGCAGGACCAGCTGCTGCAGATGAGGAGGAGCTCGAATAGCTTGGGGCAGCTGTGGGCGCGACCTTTGGTGGAGGTGATTTAGGACCAAAGGCCTTTGGACCACCTCTTGATTTGGCCTCGGCCTCAGACGCGCGAGCCTCAGCCTTTGCGACGTCGTCCATAGCTCTCTTTGCGCCCTCGGTGCTTCCAATTGCTTGGTAGACATTTTGAACGACCTTTCGATCAACGTTCGGTGCGATGTGATCAAGCCATCGCACATGTCCTCTGGCAGCTTCTTGTTCGGCACGCTTGATTGCGTGTGCAATCCTTCCGATGAAAGCTTGCGGGAGGTTCACGTTGCATTGAGATGCCGTCACCAACAACTCCAACTGTCGTTCTTGCTCCCTGTAGGTCAGATAGACGGCAAATGCAGGGATCTCGATGCAATCCTCGAATCCATGGTCACCAGCTCGAAAGTAGGTGTATTGCGTTGAATTCGGGAAAGCACTTCTCAGCAGTCTGCAAAGGAAGCTGCTCATTTTGGCCCTCATCTCGCTCTTCTCTTCGGCGGTGCCATTCATTTTGTTCATGGGGATAAGGAATTGAAGGTCCTCAGGTTTGAACCCGGCCAACACCAATCGTTCCATGATTTTCTCATAGATCTCTAGTGTCTTGACCACGGTCATGAGCATATTCCTTGGACGCCCCCCATACATCATTTCTCCTTGCATCCAATCTTCTTGCTTTGCCTTGGCACGGAACATCACGTCGAGTTCCTCTTCGGTGGGACGCCGGAGCGACCCATCTTCGTTCTCACCGGTGTATGGGCAAATACCGTCAAGGTCCAATCGTCCGACCCGGCCGGTTGTCATTTCGGCACGGTAGTCCTCTGGTGTCATTTGGTCTGTCTGTAGTAGTGCCCAGGTAGTGCCTGTACATGCCCATCACCTTTGCCAAGACTGCGTTGTCGAAGAGCTGCGCAGCGCCTTCGGATGAGTCATTGTTGATCATCCCTGATGCTGGCAGGCGGATGCTTCCAACGTCGAGGTTTAATGCCCACTTGGGCATCCTGGCTGCCTCGGGAGCAGCACCGGCCTCTTCTCCTTCTTCCTCCACTTCATCATCGGCGACGATTTCTTCTTCTTCTTCAGCTTCGGCCATTTCTTCGTCGCCTTCCTCATCATAATCGACCTCGTTCGGGTCGAATCCATAGTCGTTGTCCTGAGAAGCACCTTCTTGCGCCTCATGGACAACATCCTTGAAAATAGTTTCATTGTGCCGGCGGACTTCTTCGTCGATCTGCCGCTTCGTGGTTACCTCTTCGTCCTCTTCCTCGACGATTCGGTATGGCTTCAAGCCATAGCTTTCGAGGGCTGTCCAGCAGGACAGGCAAATCGCGAAAACTGTCGGCGTCTCTTTGAGACAGTGAGGACAGTACCGGCACCCTGATTCTGTGACCGGTTTCTTTTCGAGTATGTAATCCACGAGCCTGATGCGCCCTTCGTATTGTTCTTTTCCACCCTCTGGGATCAAGTGGTTTTCGAACTTGTCGACGAGACTCATGGCATCCATGGAGAGCTCGTCATAGGGCTGTTCTTCAACACTCAGGCATTGCTTGGCCAATCGGAGAAGGGACTCCTTGGTCGCAACGATGGAGGATTGAACTCGTCCGATGCGGACGACCTGTTCGTCCCCTGACTTCACAATCAAACGATCCCATACTGTTTTGGGATTCTGAATCCATCCACCTTTGATTTTGGAAAATGGAATGATCTGGTCTGTCACCACTTGTCCTGAATCAGTCAGACGTCCGTCGAACTCATTCATCAGGACCTCTGTGGGGATGTAGAGGCATGAAAATCCTCCTTTCCTGGTGTCCACACTCTGCGTCACTTTCCACGATCTTGGGTCCCACGGTACGTGTGGATTGAAGAATGTGAATATTCTGGAATTGGCACTTTGCCCACCAGGGATGAGACCTTCTTTCCAAATTCCTCTCAGGTTCCTGCTGGATGTAATGTGAAAGCAGACCGGCATTGCCACCACTGTGCTCGGTGCCAGTGGATGGGAGAGCAAGGTTGGCGTCAGCTCGACGTCGTTCGTTCCACGGGCGTCACCATGTCCAGTGGGAGCTCTCACCGCGACAGGATACAGAATCAGTCCCTCTTCAGGAATGTCAGTGGCGGTCGATACACCGTTACACCGACAAGTTTGACTGTTCCGATCGATGTCGGGCAAGATACCAAACGCGAGCACTTGTTCACGAACGCGTCGGCCATACCTTGCACAGAAAAACATGATCTTGAAGAGCGTCTGCAACCTGTACATTGCTTCCTGTTCGTCCCAATTTTCCTGGACTCTTTCTTTCCCACGGGGAACCAGGAATGCATGAGGCCACCTCAATCTTTCGTGCCTCCAGATGGCTTCATTCTGAAGCACATCGTTGATTGGGACCCATCCGGCATCATCACATGGTAAACTTTGAGGTTCGGAAGCTCTTCCGATGTGATGCCGAAGGATGCGATTCAGGGCCGAGCTCACTTCGTCTTCATAGTCTGAGAGCTTGTTGCGCTGCCCGAATCGATAATCGACTCCATATTCAACACCGCTGTAAAATTTGTAGTTGAAAAAATGACAGCCTGTGTTAGGAACGATTTTCAAGAAGCCGTCCATTGGTGCTTCGACTCTCTTGTACAATGGCTTGCGGGTGTTCTTGTCTGTGTAGGCTGCAAGGAAGTCCGGAACTTTCCAGATGTCACCTCCTCCACGCATGATGGCGTCTCTGATCACGTCGTTGAGGTCGTAGCTTGTCATTGGCCCCTCGCAGACGATGTCACGGCCATCAATGCAGAATCTTCCTTGTTCATCCAGATCTCCGACTTCGGACATCAAGCGGATCTCGTCATACCAGTGGTATTCTCCGGTTCGGGCCGTGTCTGGTTCTGCTGGCCCTTTGGATTCATCAGCTTTGTCCGATTCATCTTTCGTCTTCTCACCTTCTTGGTCCATGTCAGCGTCGGAGCCGGAGCTTTCGCCTTCAAGGGCTGTCCTGACTGCATCAAGAGCCTTCTTGATGTCAGGTTTCTTGGGATCTTCGCATTCATCATGAGTGTGCTTGGTGCTCCCACAGTAGATGCAGACATTGACATCCTCGGAGGCGGTGAAGAAGTCCCCAAGAGCATCGAGGAGAAATTGCTTCCCAGATCTTTCGGAAGCACGGGCGACTTCTGCATCAGCGTCAGTAGGTTCCTCAGCTTCTGGTTCGTCAGGCGGGGCTGATAGCCCTTGACCCAACTCATCATTGGCTTCGTCACCCGCATCAGCATTATCGTCCATGTCAACATCATCCATGATGTTGTACTTCTTTCGGAACTTCTCAATCACTTGCTGCTTCTCCCAAGCTGTCATGCAGTCGAAGTTGGAGAGGCTTTCATAATCGGGGATCGTGTCGATGATCGTCATAACTTCCCCTGCCTCCCCTGAGTCTCCAAAACTAGTAAATTTACTAATTTAGTAAATTTACTAAAAAAGAAGAATTTACGTAATTTTTTCTCTAGTTTTCTGGATATTAGTAAATTTTATGAAAAACGGAAAGTGCATCAAAAGTGCATCAAAAGTGCATGTGCCCTTTTCGCATTTTTGATTCGAATTATGATATTGTAGCAGAAATGCAGGAGCATTTTTTAGATTTATTTGATGTCGTTTTAGTTCACAATGTGAGTAGCAAATTGTTCCAGAACAAAGAGTTAGTTTTGTCACATACTTGTATGTTTAATGGATATGGTCAAGTAAGGCCAGAATATTTGCAAGGGACCAGTCAAGGAAGGACTTTTTCATAGATTACCAAGAGTAAAGTCAGTATGCTAAAGTCAATATCATACAGCCCACAAGTAAGATCAAAAGTTCTGTAGCAATTGCAACTTGTCATTCTCAAGTAAATTCTGCAGCAGTGCATTTTTTTTCACTGCTGGTGCTTCAGAAATTGTAAATGGCGGTTCTTGAGTGCTGCTGCCTGTGCCACTGCCCAATGCTTGTTGCCATCCAGGCAGGACTTCCAAAGTCTTTGCACAGCTTTCATCTTTGTTTCACCCTTGAAACACCAGGTGAGGTAAGGATGAATTGCATTTGAAAGTTGCATTGTATGCAAACAGAAATGCGTTTTGCTTGTCAAATTAAAAATTTGCAGGTCCGTGGCAGCATAATGGTCCTGTAGCTGTACATGAAGCTGCACCATCTGAAAACATTTTGGAAGGACTTCTGCATGCACATTGTCAGGCAAAGCCAAGTAGCCCATTTTGGGCGAAAAGCGATCCAGCACGTCATGAACTTCAACATTCAACTGCAAGAGGGCTGAAATCTGCAAATACTGCGGGTTATCAGAATCCAAATGATGTTCCCAGCATGCCATCATGGCTTTATCCAGCCCACGTATGTCAGCTGCACGCCCTTTCAGCTTAGGAAATCCCTTTGCCTTCTGGAACATTGAGAGCTTGTCAAGTCTTGGCCTGAACTTCTGCCGAGTTTTGTCTCCCTTCTGAAATTCTTTAATAAAGGCACCAATGTGCTTCAAATTTGCCAAGGGTTCACCAGGAAGAACATGGAAGACCAAAAGAAACATGATGCTCCCATACAGGAATTGGAGCCAGCCCAGGTACAAATTATGCATCAAGTCCAAAGCTACACTCCAACAACTGAAGCCAGGTAGAAGAAAAAGCTGAGAAGTGCTTTGCCAATGCTTTGTCCAACTTCGGTTTGTGAGTAGCAAACCTTGCCACTTTGATCCTGGCCTGCTATCCAACCAGGATGTTTTGCCCCGAAATGTTGCTTTGCATTGGCAGCACGGTTTTGTGTGATTGGTGCTCTGAGGAATGCCAAACCATTTCTGGAAAAAATCCAAGTCCCCGCACAGTTGAAGCAAACAAGCTCTGTAGCCACCAGCTAGGGGCAAGCCAGCTTTTCTTCCATCTGGGCTTTTTCTTTCATACTTAATGCCTCTCCAATCATGTGTAGGCCATACACCATCCAGCAGTGTCTGAAAACTCCATCGAAGGATAGAAAAGAAAGTTGACATGGTGCCCAAGACCCCGCCTTCATCCTGTACACAGAACTTCTCAAAAACTCCCCATATGTAAAGTGTGCAATCTTCAGCTTTGGCCCCAAGGGCATTTGCTAATATCGATGTCCAGCTAAAGGACAATACAGATCTGGCCCAAATTTTGCCCACACCAAACACAGGGACTTCATCTCCATGTAAGGACAAAGGAATCAATTTCGTTGTGTATTCAGGAATTGTTTTCAGTGGACTATCTGTCATCAGAGGATGCTTGTCAAAAGCATTCCAAAGTCAGGCAATTTGCTCGAATCAGCCAGGACAGAAGATTTCCAATGAAAGTCATTTTCATACATAGCAGCAAAATATTCATGTGGCAACAAAATGTACCCTGGCTTGGTTGCATCCTTGTAAGGAATTTCTGCTGGAAAAGGTGCAGGAAGGTTGCTCGATTTCTTCAAATTTCCATAAACTGATTTGATCAAACTTTTGCCAAGCTTGAGGCCAGCCAACTGGTCCAAGTCTGGCAGCTCTTTGTCCTCCTTGATCTTGTCCATGTCATTTTTTGCAGCTACTGCAATGCTGTGGCATAAGGCTCCCGACAAAAGGCCTTGTGCCAGGAAAGTCATAAGTAACTCATGCAAAGAGCTTTTCTCCTGCGCAGAAGAGCGAGCTGCTTCCTGTCTTTGCAGGATGCCTCTCTTTCTCCTTTTGGAGGCTGGTTCCATGGTGCGCAACAAGTTAAAAATTGAAAACCATGAGACTTGATCTCACTCACGGAAGGAAGTTTGAACCAAGGGTTCTCCTTGCTCGACCTTGGTTTGAAGAAATAGTATCAGCAATGTTTTAAAGATTTGGGAAGCGCATACAAGGATTTCATATCCTCATGTAAAGTTCTTCCATACTTTCTACAGGATCATTTGTACCTGCCACCAAGTAAAGGTCTGGGCGAAGAGCTGGTCTGAAGTAAAGGACTCTGGGACTTCTTTTGGGGAGATATTATTTATTTAATGCATTTTTACTTTGTAATCCACATAAAATCTCTTTAGACAAATTGTAATGGCATTGATTTCATTGCATTGAATTACTTTCTATAGGAGGGAAATTCCACAAGTAAATTTATCATAGATAGAAACTTCTACAAGTACAACCAATTGCAGTGAAGTTCCACAGGTGACTTCAACAGCAGTGAAGTTCCACAAGCTAACTGTTCCACCAGTGAATTTGCACATGTAAATTGAATTGCAGTGGAGTTCCACAAGGGAAGTCAAAAGCAAAGAACTTCATAAACAAAATCAGCACCCTTTGACATTCATCAGTGAAGGCAACACAAGTAAAACCTGTCACAAGTTGAAGCAACAGAATTGAAATCCCAAAAGTAAAGTCAAGTGCCATCAGCAGCAGCAGCAGACAAAGGCCAAGGTTTTTCTTTCTCTTCCCTGCAAGGTCTGGTCTGTCGGGGTCTTCGATGTAAAATCTTCTAAGTGCCAAATGCTCAGTACCTAGAGGAGGCTGTCATCCTTTCATCTCTTAAAGTAAAGCCAAAACGGATGTGAACATCCTTGCTTTCCTAGATTATTGCCTCTCAGGAGCTGCTTCAACCTTCCATGGCTTTGCGCTGGCGAGCTGCAATGGCATTGGCCTGACCTTTGGCACCTGCCAAGCGAAGCTCAAGAGCCTCACCAGCCTTGCCAGAAGCAAGCATGCAGTCATCGTAGTTCTTCACAGTCAGGGGCTTTCCACTGTTCTCTGGAGTCTCTTTCCACTGCCAAATGTGATCCAAGATGGCCTTCTCCTTCTGGAGTTTTTGAGTGATGTCTTTCCTCACCATGTTGTTTATGTTGACATAGGAGGAGGACATGAGTCACAGTGTGAGAACATTATTTGAAACATGAATAGGTAATGTATATTGGAACTTTGCTGCATTTACATTTAAATGGGAAAGATGGAGAAGTAATATGTTCCTCAGGACAGAGAGATGATCTGACAACAGAGCAATCTTTTTTATATGCGTATACTTGAGCTCGATTGTACTTGCATGAATTTATTTATGATGAAAGGGGAAAAAGTGAAAATAGAAAAAGTGAAACAAGAGATGAGTAGCAGCTCTTGGTATAGATCGTCGTCGCGGTTGTCCACACCTACCTGCTGGAGCAACTTTTTGGCTTCCTTCAGGTTGTTCTCCCAGAACTTCGTGGCTGCACTGAGCTGGGATTGGGCCTGAGTCCAAAGCTCAGGTGTCAACTCAATCTCTTTGTCGCACAAAGCAAGCTGCCCAGCTGGGCTTGCAATGGCAAGCTGTCCCTGATTCTTCTGAAAAAGGCCAATGAATGGACCATCAAGACGTGTCTTTTCGAAAGCTGCGTCCTTCTTGCTTAAGTAGGTCTCACTCTTGAGGGTCACTGTGGAATCACTGCCCTTTGAGACTGTGTGCTCTTGCACCTGCCAACTGTAACGCACTATGCCGTCCTTGCCAATGACTTCAAAGAATTCACCAGCAGCCAAGCCAGCTTGAAAGGAATCTTCCTTCAAGTTGAATTTGCCACAAAACAAAGTCTTTGTCAAGGCTTTGTGGCTGTCTTTGGATTCCTGGCGTTGGTAGGTGCTCTTCAACTCATCCAAGACCGGGTTGGTCAAGTTCAGGATCAGCTTGCCTGTGCTATCTTCTCTGGAGATGATGGCGTTGACAATCTTCCTCTGAGCAGCAGGTCGCCCTGTGGACAACTTGCACGAGGCGTTCCAGGCGTCCTCTGCCCACTTGGGCAATTGGCCATCATTCAACATCTTCTTGAACTTGTTATTCTTGGCCCTGTCCTTGTGCGAATCATCTATCTGGAAGTTGGTCTCGCTGGGCTCTACCTCCATATCCTGAGCACCTGGATCTTCTTCTTCTTCTCCATGTTCCTGAAAGTCTTTCTCTGTCTTCTCCTCTTCAACCTTCAACTTGTTGGCCCAACCCATGGACGAAGAATGAGCCTGGCCAGCTTGGACTGCAGGTGCTGCAGCTGGACGCTTCAAAGACACAGAAGCTGCAGGTTTCTTGATGCCCTTGGACTTTGCCATGGCTTTGCTCTTGGCCTTGGCCTTGGGAGAACCTTTGGGGCTAGCTGCCGACTTTGCCTTCTTCATAGACTTCATGGGAGTCACTGCCATTGGCTTGGGCTGTTTCATGGGAGTCACTGCCTTTGGCTTAGTCACTGCCTTTGGCTTGGTCGGTTTCTTAGGTTTCACAGCTTTCTTGCTAGCTGCAGGTCTTTTCTTGCTGCCAGCAGGCACCACTTCTGTAGGCTCCACTTCTCCAGGCTCCACTTCTCCAGCCTCCACTTCTCCAGGCACTGGAGTTGTAGGAGCTGGGGGGGGTTCCTCTGAAGCCATGGCGCAAGAGCTGGTTTCCTTGGCGACAATTACACTGTACAAACTATTTAATCCTGCAATGAAATACCAAGACAAGGCATCAAATTCATTGCTGCACTGCAGTGGCTTGCAACACTTTGCGCAGCATCACAAGTAAATTCTTTTAGTATAGGTGAATTGGAAAAAGGAATTTACTTTGGGAGCCACCATATCAAAAATGAATTTATAAAAAAAATGAATTTACATAAGTATGGGTGAATCCAGAAAGGGAATGTACATTGGATCTTGACTTTAACAGGGTCCAAGAAAAGCAGCAAAAACTTCAAACAACATAGCTAAAGCATCATTTCTAATTACATGAGACTAGGTGAAACATGAAACATGGAAACAAAAAACATGTTATCATTTTTGCCAGGCAAGTAAAGTGAAAAAACTTTATTGGAACAGGTTTGCTTGCTACAAAGATGGACCAACTTACATAAATTAACTTTACATAAAGGAATTTACTTGAGATGGATTTACATGAGCTAAATTGAAGTGAGTTGAGTTCAAAGAAAAACGTTGTTTTGATGTCTTGGATTCTCCTGGAGTAAAGCACCTCCCCTATAGTGCCAAACAATTTGGAGAAGGCCTGGAAGAAATCCAGGTTAACCTTTGGCAGGCTGCAAAAGACACATCAAGGAAGTCTCACTGAGACCCTTACTCCACTTTCAATGCCATCTGAATATTTTTTGGCATATTTCTGAATGTTTTTCCTTTTGTCAGAACAAAATGCTTGAAAACTGACCAAAAATCTGATGCACTTTTGATGCACTTTTGATGCACTTTTAAAAAGTGCATCAAAAGGCAGTAAAAGTGCATCAAAAGTGCATCAAAAGTGCATCACTTTTAAAAGTGCATCAAAAGTGCATCAAAAGTGCATCAAAAGTGCATCAAATTTTTGCTTGAAGGCATATAAAATGCCAAGATTCTCTCTAAAAAAACAGCAGAGGTCAAATTCAAGTAAACTTCATTGACATCAGTCTCAAGTAAAGCTCACTGACATCAATCAAGTAAAGCTCACTGACAACAGTCTCAAGTAAAGTTCATCGACAACAGGCCTCAAGTAGAGTTCACTGACAACAGTCTCAAGTAAAATTCAGTGACAGCAGCCTCAAGTAAAGTTCACTGACAACAGTCTCAAGTAAAGTTCACTGACAAACAGGCTCAAGTAAAGTTCACTGACAACAGCCTCAAGTAAAGTTCATTGACCAGAGTCTCAAGTAAAGTTCATTGACAAGAGTCTCAAGTAAAGTTCACTGACACGAGTCTCAAGTAAAGTTCACTGACAGCAGCCTCAAGTAAAGTTCATTGACAAGAGTCTCAAGTAAAGTTCACTGACAACAGGCTCAAGTAAAGTTCATTGACAAGAGTCTCAAGTAAAATTCACTGACAACAGCCTCAAGTAAAGTTCACTGACAAGAGTCTCAAGTAAAGTTGATTCACAAGAGTCTCAAGTAAAGTTCACTGACAGCAGCCTCAAGTAAAGTTCACTGACAAGAGTCTCAAGTAAAGTTCACTGACAGCAGCCTCAAGTAAAGTTCACTGACAACAATCTCAAGTAAACTTCATTGAGTGCAGTGTAGGTGTGAAAATATGAGTCTTGATAGATGTCACTGTTTCAAAGATGTCTCAAGTAAATGCATCCCAAAACTGTGGCAGCAGCATTTTTTTTTAACCTCTGAAGCATCAATGTCCAAAGTGTTCTTCGAGTTCCCTGGCAAGAGCTGCATCGTCTTCATTCTCATCTGCAGTTTCCTGGTCACCAGGTAGATCTTCAGGCTCAACGGTCAGATACTCATCTTGTTGAATGGGCTCATGTGAGCTCTCTGTCGTAGGAGACCTCCTTCTGCTTCTGGATGCTTCTTCATGCCTCCTGCTGCTTCTCTTTCTACTCCTTGATCTACTTCTGCTCCTGTGCCTTCTCTTTTTCTTCTTGTCTTTGTCTTTCAACTGCAAAGCTCTGATGACCCTTTTCATGGCTTGGATATCAGCTTGGTCGACAAAGGCATCATAGGTCTCAGGTACCTCTGTCATGGGCGCCTCAAAACCAGTCGAAGCAAAGCAGTTCTCTGCCTTGTCATTGCCACCAGCTGGAACCTCAGCATGAAAAAGAGGTTGTCTGACAAAACACTAACTATGTCCACCATATCATAGAAAATGATCCTTGTCCCACATTTTAAGCAACATTCAAATAACTATGTTTTATCTTAACTATAAACATATATAATGTTAAAACAAGGCACTGCAGGATTATCTTCTGGACACAAATTTGGGCTCTTGGACGGTGTGGGCATGTGACCTTCAGCTGCCAGACCTGAAGCACTGCTTGCCTTTGCTGGGCCAGGAGTAGATGTTGCTGGGCACTGCGTAGGTCCAGGTCTGGGTGTTGAGGCTTTGCAAGTAGATCCATCGCTCTCTCCACCTGGAGGGTTCTGTGGCTGTGGAACAGACATTCTCTTCCAGCTTGGAGGATGCAATGGTTCTGGTACTCCAATCCTTGTGCTGCCATGTGCACATCCCCATCCTGGCATTTCAGCAGGATGAACAAAGTGCGAAGGACTGGGGCCTGAGTTCACTGGAACTTGCTGCGGAAAGAGAACCTGACTGGGTCCAAAAGGATGCATCATAGGGCTTGGCCCTGGTGGCATGGGCGCAGGAAATGCTCCAAGGTGAGGTGGCACAGGCCCTCCATGATGAACTGCCTGAGCAGAGCAAGGGGCAAAACCAGCACTTGCAGCAGGATAAACTCCAGGATGTAGCGGACTTGGTGCTCCTCCAGGGACAGGTCGTTGTGGACTTTGAGGCATTTGCCTGGCCCAGGCACGAATGACGCCTGCATGTGGGCTTCTGTAATCTTCCACATGAAGTCCTGGTCAAATTTGTTGGATCAAAACTGCAGCAAATATGCAATGATTCAAAACCAAATGCATACATCCCTGTATGTAGTGCACATATGAAGTAAACCTAAAAGTTTACCCAAAAGCAACTCAAAATTTGCCAAGGCTTAGCACAGTCTCTCTTGTAATTGTCTGGCTTGGAGATGCCCTGAAGCCAGCGACCACCAAGCAGGGCCTTTGCATGATCCTTCGCCTCCTGCGCGGAGAAATGAAGGAACATTGTCTGGTGGTCGGGCTCAGCTTTCTGGAGGCGTAGTTCAACTTGTTCTTTGAAGGTCTGGGCCTTACAGAGTTGAATCTCCACCAGCAGGTTGCAGTCGATGCCCATCTCTTCGAGGACCTGTCGAACTTCCTGAAGCAAATGTTTGGGAAACAGACATCTCATGTTTCAACAACATGAATGCAGCATATTTGGGGAACATAACCCTGAGGAAATCAGAACAAAAAAACTGATCAATGCAAGTATCGAATTTTCTTGCATTGTAATCCACATTGTGGCAGACCAAAGTGTTGGGACCAGCAACTGAGTTCCGCATGTTTGCAGCTACTGCAAAAAGAATGCCACTAGAAAGTTCTGGTTGTAATTGCCTTGATATTTACTTGAGGTTGAATTTATTTCAAGTGGACTTTACTTGAGTTCGAATTTACTTGAGATTTATGCACAAACAATGACTTTACATAAGACTTTATAAGTACTTGAGTTCGAATTCACTTGAAATTTATGGACAAAAAATGAATTTACATAAGTTCCGCTTCCTTTGACATGTCATGTCTAGTCCTCAGGTCAGTGCAACAAGCAGCAGAAACATAAATTCAAATAAGCTTGTCCTCAAGCATGACCAACTGCTCAAGTACAACTCAAGTAAAGTCACAGCTCATTCATGACTGACTGCTTAAGTAAAAATTTCCACTTCCTTTGGATTAACTACATTCAGTTCTTCCCTCCTAGTCCCAAGTAAAGTTCGAACTGGTCCTCAAGTAAAGTCAAGTGTGCCACTCCAGACATGCTAACAGTGAAGGATCTCTAGACTTTTTTGCCATTCAGGCGAACACACATGTGAAAGCCAGCCCCACACCTTCGCAAGCCACAAGCTTATTGACTTGCTACCCCCAGTGACATGGAATCCACATACCAAGAAAATCAAACATAGATTTGAGATACAAACCAGGTTTTAGCATTATATAATGTATCTAGAAAAAACGTTAAGATGCCAGACATTCTCAAGTGGATGGTTCCATGTTCCTAATCAACATCCTGAGACTTGCTGTGCTGTGCAACAAGCTCAGCAAAAGGATTGGATTTACATCCCGCGGCTACGAAACCTCTTCACAAGTTCTGAAATGCTCAAATGCTGCAAAAGCATGGCTCTGCTCAAAGAACTTTGCCATGACTTGGCAGCCTCCAGCCTGGTCATCTCACTCTTCTCCATGAGAGACTTCACATAGATCTCCTTCTTCTTGGCCATAGTACCAGGCTTGTAAACCGTGTTCTCATCGAGAGCAGAAGCAGAGTCATTGCTATTCTCACTCTCTTCTTTCTCTGTTTTTGGCTCCTGAATCTTCTTCTTCTTCTTCAGCTCTTCTTTCTTTGTCTTTGGCTCAGGAACTTTCTTGACAATCTTCTTGGTCTTCTTGTTCTTCTGGCTTCTCTTCTTCTTTCCAAGATTGCTCTTCTTCTCTGTCTTCTTTGCCTTGCTTTTGGGAAGGGGAAGGTTTGAAGCATCTGCCTCATAGATACTCGCCTCTTGCAGGATCTTCTCCATCAGCTTCGTCTTCTTGCTGCTGGCAGAAGTAAGCGCGGAGCGTTCCACAGGAATAGGTTTTCCCTCTTGTGAAATCTCTGAAGCAGCAAAATGCTTCTGGAAAACAGATGGCAAAGGCTTCAAAGAGCTATGAGCCGAACCCATCTGCTCAGACTTGACAGGAAAAGGCACCAAAGCAAAGCAACCACCATCAGCACTTGCACTATCAGAAGCACCTGGAAGCTCATTCAGAACAGAAACTGTCCTGAGCCTGGAAACATCCTCTTCTTCAATCTCATCCTGAGAAGATGCTGCCATGAGTTCAGCAGGCAGCTGCACACAATCCAACACAAACTCGAGTTTTGACCAGTCCTGCCTAGTCAAATTCCTCTGGACCTTCAACCGCTGAAACTCATTGCACTTCAAAGTTCGGATCATGTTCAAAAGCACCCTGATGGTCAGGTCCAGCTTATCTAAGCTGTCATCAATGGTGGTGCCCTTCTTGATGTCAATATGCAACTCCTTGTGGTCATACATGGCCCTCAGGCACTTGACCAGCTTCGTACTCTGCAACTTTGTTGGGGGCCAAGCCAACTAGGTCATAGAGCAGCGAAGCAGTCTTGCACAGCCAATCACTACTAGGATACGTGTGCCAGCCAAAAGTCTGAGGCCCAGTGGCAGGAGGTGCCACCAAACACCAAAGATCATTGGTTTTTTTAATACCGCAGATAGTCAGAAAGAACAGACTGTATGGAGGCAACACTGATGCCCTTGTCAGCGACCAGCCGAAAACGAGAAGCTTGCTTCATGGACCTCTCCTGAGCTAGCCTCTCTTCCTTCTCCTTCATGGCAAACTCCAAGGCAGCCATAACCAAGAAATTGGTGAAACGACAACGCAACCGACTGATCCCCAAATGGCTGGGGTAAAATCAAAATCACTGAAGCCAAGCTCGGTTCCAACCTTGAAACCTTCAAACCTGTTTGACACAAAACATGCCAGAGATAGAGTTCCAAACACATAAAACAAATGAAACAAATTCTTTCATTCACACACAAGTAAATTCTTGGTCCCAACAACACAAAAACCAATGTAAATTCTTGCTCCCCCCCATATCACAATCCATCAGAAAACAAAAAATCAGATAAGTTCTTTGTCACACACCAAACAATCTATCACATAACCACAACATCTCAAGTAAAATCTTTTTCGCAAACCCGCAAAAATCATGTAAAATCTCCCACAAACACATCTATAAATCTATCACAGCACAACCCATCTCAAGTAAATTCTCTCATGGAAACATGTCTAATCTTTCCCAACCTCACAAATCTCAAGTAAATTCTTTATCAAACACTAGCAAAAAAACAAATTTGTAACCCCCAAAAAAAAACTTACATTAGTAGATGCATTTACTAACGTTAGTAAATTTTACTAACGTTAGTAAAAATTTACGTAAATTCACGTTAGTAAATCCCAAAATTTACGTAAATTTTTGGGCACCTAAATTTACTAGTTTTGGAGACTCAGGGTCTGTTGTCTGGAGAGTACAATCAAAGGATCCTTTCCTCTTGTCGTTGGTGGTGAAGGTGGTCCTTGCCATAGATCCGAAGGCAGTCAATGCCTTCTCCAAACCGTTGAGATATTCGGTAGGGTCGATGTTGTCACCGAACACGTTGATGACGCCCTTGGCCATGCTGGCGATGTCAAGAACTCCAAGCCAGAATTCGATGATGTCGCCCACTTTCTCGGCCGTGGCTTTGGTAAAGGCAAAGATCTCATTTCTTTCCTTCAGCCCTGGGACTGCAACCTGCTCAAAGAAATCTTTGTATGCGACGTTGCCGCAATCTTTGGTGACCCTGAAGGCCAAAATCCACTTTCCAGGACCTCTGTCGTAGATCCTTTCCCTGTAGATGCTGAATTGCTTGCCGCGGCCGTTCTTGAAGATCTCCTTGGCCTGATTGTAGGGAATGCGAACACCCCCCATGTGGGACAATGATTTCATCAGCTCTTCACCATATCTCAGGCATTTGTTGCTGATCACAGACGCTGCTGCAAACACCAACCATTTTTGGAAATCCTTGCTGATGTCGAGCTTGTCCAAACCGCAATTCTTGAACGCGACTTTCAGGCGGGCCGCAAGCAATAGCACTGACTTTCGTGCGCCCAACGTCGGAGCAGATTTCTGGTAATGGTTCTGCGTGTTCGCCGAGCAATTAATGCACGAAGCAGGTTTGAACTGGGCAATTTCAATTGCCTCCATGGACGTGGCGGCTCTGCAATGTTCGCAAAGGAAGTCGACACTATCAGGAAATACTGGGAGCCAGTAACGATTGTGTGATTCCTCAGGTTCAAGTTCGATGGACCTGGCAATTGGTTCGACCCACTGAGCCTTGTGTCGCTTGTCCTTGTTGAACCTGGTAGTTGTTGAGCCTGCAGTGGAAGTGCCCTTCTGGTAGATCGGCACGTCACCTTTGGCATAGTCGTCCGGGGTCATGTCACCGCTTGCAATCCTGAAAACTTGAGTAGCGCCGGTGACATCAGCGAGCATCTCCGGATTCACGCCAGAATGTTTGGGTCGATATACGCCCTCGTTGAGGGTTGACACATGATCCCGGTTCGAGGCGCACATGAGGAAGACGCGCTGTCTGAAGAGGTTCTTTTCGATCACTGACCAAATTGCATTCTTGCCAAGAGTACCTCTTCGTGCAGACTTCAGTGGACTAAATTGATTGCCAAATTGTGAGTGCATTGATCTCCACATTCTCTGATCGGTGGTTACCATCACTCCCTCTCTCTTCAAGCTCTCGGTTAGCTCAACAGCCAGCCTTGAGGTAATGGAATCCATGCCGTTGAAGAGGGAGTCGGTGTTGATGGCAACGATCACGGGTCTTGATGACGCTTGGTCAAGATCGGTCAAGCATTTGATGAACTCCTTCTGAAATGATGGTGGCACCACGACATTGTGCGGTGGCTTGGCGTCATGCAGGAACTGGAGGGATAACCAAACATGGACAGTAGCCTGACCCATGTCACGCAGACCTTGGCTCAAATGTTCAATGACATTGTCGACTGTTTCACGAAGCTTGTCAATGGGTTGTGCGGCTTCGGCTTCATGGATCTTGAACAATTCAATGTTCCATCCCATGTCGTGCAGTCCCATGCATAAGTCGTGCCTGCCAGTCGAAGTGCTGATATGATGAGCCAAGTCGGTGATCAGAAAGGTTGATCCCTGCCTGAACTTGCCAGACAACACATCAGAGTTCTTCTGCGTCCTGGGGTTCTCGACGATCTCGCATGCCAACGGGTTGTAGATCTTCTTGACCGTCTCCCCCAAGCCGGACGCATTTGCTACTTCCCTTTCGTTCTTGCCGAGCATCATCAGCAAACCAGCAGTCGACAAGTAGCATCCCGTACGGGTCAACCCATACGTTCTCACTAAATGACTGTAACACCTCAACCAATCTTTCTCAGAAATTTTGGCTGAATCTGCATCTGTTACAACGTTATTGTTGCAGATACCGAACACCATGCAACCGTATGCCGTAATCCTACACAGATATTGTGCCCAGCCTGAAATGTGACTTCCAGCAGCTGCCGGTCCTTGGATGATTGAAAGCAGGAAAGCATCGTTGTCGTTCATCCATGCCGATGAGCAAAACATCGTTCCTCTGTGATCGGGACAGGATGAGGAAAACAACTTGTATCCGATAGGCGGCTCAGGGGTCACCCAATCTGGTGGATGATCAGGCTGCTGTGGTCGCGCCTTCGGAGGTGGTTTTGCAGAACCCCCTGCCGCTCCAGCTGAGGAGGAAGCGCCGCCCCCGGTGGGGGTTGGGCGTGCCTTCGGCTCAGGCGGAGGTGGAGAAGGTGCAGGTCCAGCTTGCGCTTTCCTCCTCTCGTCGTCGGCCGCCGACTGCTGTTGGTTCATCATTACGATCGGGTGTGGGTCCCACGCCGGGGGAATCGCCTGTGCCGGCGGATATCGCCCGTCTTTGGGTAGGAGCGGGACTCTCCAATTGTCAATGTGTTGGGTTTCCGTGACACCCTGGGCAACCTGGCTCGCCGACGTAGTTGTGAGGAAATCCCGGATGCAGGAGAACGTCCGGTTCCTCTTCTCAATGGCGTCGAACGTTCCCTGGTCGGCGCTGGCGACATTGTATCCGCCAATCTCCCAGATGTCATCTCGAAGGTCAAAGGATCCCTTCACGGTCTTCAACTTGTTCTGGATGACCTTTCGGACGGCATGCAAGTCCTCGTAATCCTGCATTTTGGCGACCCATTCATGCAGCATAGCCGATGCCATGAGCATCGTCTGCAAATGGATGACTGCGGCCGTTCTTTCGAGGGTCAGGTCATACCTCATTGACAACCAGTCCTCCAAGACGTCCTGGAGAATGATGCATTGGCCAGCAGTGCCAGCGGAGTGCATCTTGGCGTTATGGCGCCGGAGTGCATAGCCAAGGTTGGCGCCCTCACCTTCTACAATCTCCCAGAGCGTCTTCGCTCTGCTTTGGATCTCGGGCATCTTGGTGTGCTCTCTTTCCATGACATGGAATGCCCACTTTTCCCAATAGACTCTGGTCATGTTGTACCAGGCAGACCTCAGTCTGATGTTGTGGCAAACACTGTTGCCGGGAGGATGCGACTGATTCAATGATCCCATGTTCACGATGCTCGTGCTGGAGATCTTCTCTCTAAGTTGCCGCACTGTCACTGTCTTGTTGATCATGTTGTTCGTGCCGGAGTATTGACTCTTCAAAGTCTCCCAGAACTCTCCGACCCTAATTGCACATTCCCTGGTGCACAACAATTTCAGGAAGCTGAAGTCATCGCCTCGAGCTCCTCGTTCAACTAGCTTTGACAGTGTTGAAGCCTTGTCTACAAACTCGGATACGGTAAGATTCATCTCATCTTCATCAGTCACTTGCATCATCAGTTTCAGCAAGAGATGAATGGCATGAGATACATGAGTTCTGTAAATCCTACCAGCGACGAAGCCTAATGCGATCACCACTGATGGAGGGACCTGTACGACAGTTATCCAGTTTTCCAGATCTCTATCAGGGTAAAATCTGCTGTCGGCTTCATCAAATGTCGACAAGGCTTTCGGCAACTGAGCAGCCTGACCTTTGGTGTCTATCACCTGCAGCGTCTTCTTCAAAGCTGCATACCCTTTGGCTGCGGAGACGGTGACAATCTTCTTCTCTGCCATCGCGTCAACGATGCCGGCCAGAGGGGAATCCGGATCAGCTGTAGACCGTCCGCGCTGCGGATTGAGCCTTAGCTTCACCTTCAAACCACCTCGGCGGCAAATCCAATCGAGTAGTAGTTGGTCAAGATGCTGGTTGTGTTTGTCTTCATCCTCATAATTGTTAACGGATAAGCATGTGCATGCTTTGTTCCTTGGTTTGTGATGTTTCATCTTGACATTTGATTTCTTTGGTTGACATGTCCCTTCCGCAATGTTCCACAACATTTGATTCTTTACTCCACGAATGATGCATCTTACAATCTTGTCCGTGTATAGTTGGGTTGCACGAGTTTCTCTACCTGCACATGGACCATGTGGATGTGAGCCGTCACATTTCTCATGCAAGTCAAAGAATGAAACCCCCCATGATACGATCCTCCATGGTTTCTTGATGGCAGTGCCTGCATCTTTGAACTGCGACTTCAAACCATACATGCATCCGTCAAATTCATGAATAGTAGAATTTGTACCATTGATCATGAACTTCATTCTTTCATCATTCCAATAATCGCATCCACGAGGTAGTTCCAGTAGTGCCATTGCATACATCTCATGTACATGCTGTAAACACAATGCGAACTCTTCCCAAAGTTCCCAATACAACAGTGCTTTCATACGAATGTTGTGAGCAGTGACATCGCTGACGTTTTTGTTCAAACGATTCCACGGTGATCCACCTGTGCAAGGCCCAGCGAAGAATACGCAGTCACTTGCACTTCGAATGCATCTTCGCCACTTGGCTCTACCAAAGTTTGACATCAGGTTGTCATCTTCAGTGATGGTGACAATGTGCATCATCTTGAATCGATCTTTGCAGTGGATCTTTGTCATAATGCTCTGTGTTTCAGCACACATAAGGAGTAGGCATGGAATATCATCTTTCATCTCATGCAATTCCAAACATATTGCAGTGTCTTTGAGAAAATCACCGACAAAATCACACGATGACCTTTGGAAGTGGTATGTCAATGTTGTTCCGTTCTTACGATGTAATACCATTTGGATATCCCAATCCTTGTTCTTCCTGGTCTCATGCTTCAACTTGTAGTGATGGGCAATAAACATGTCATCTAATGGGATGATTTTCATGTTGCCATCAAAGGTGCAGGTGACTACGGAGTTTTGGCACGATGCCCTGTCCTCCACGTCAGATCCACTGTCCAATAGATTGTTGATATCAGCATTGGAAATGATCTTGAACGTTGTAGTCCCTGTCCAAAATTCGTTTCTTCTGTTCGTTCGTTCAATGTTATTCCCAGCCAATCTCCATGAATCATTGATTGTTCTTCCGCTTGATTGAAATACTTGATATGTTTCTCGATCATCACGGAATCGTTTCAGTCTACATGGTAAGAAATCAGCCTCTTTGGGAACAAACATTCTTCTTCTTGGGGTATGGTGCACTCTCACCAGTGTAACTTCGTCCTTCCATATCCACTCATCCTTACAATCCGCAGTTTTGGGGTTCTTTCTTGCTCTTCTTGATGGTGTGGGATTGAGGAATACATCTCTTGACACTCTTGCATGGGCTACATCACCACCAGCAAAAACAATGCGACGTCGTTTTGGGTCCTTGTTTTCTGTAGGATATGGGTCGTCGTTGATGTCGGGGTCCCCTGTTGGGGGTTGTCCCATTGGAAGGCTACCCCAACCTGAACTCCCCCCATGAACAACTCGAAGGAGCGTGTTGATCACCCGAGCTGTGCCAAGAGGCGCTGCATGAATGGTTGTAGGTTGGTCTCCAATGGATTGGTGGCAAAACAGTTGTGTAGCTCCAATTGTCAATTTAGGATATTTCTGGACGTGGGTCTGACGAGATGGCACCGTAACGGCAGGCCCTGGTCGTTCTTGTGACGCCGGGGGTCGCGATGAGACTTGCCCGGAACGCCATGCAGCGGCAGCTGATGGTTCGCCATCATTGGGTTGATGGTATTGGAAACAAGCACGTTCTACCCACTGATCAAAACGGTCTTGTTGTTGAACAGGGTGAGCTCGATCCTCTACTTTAATCCACTTGCCATGAGTCAATATCCAAGTGCTGCGTAAACAGTCTTTGGGTAGTGACAAACCGCTTGGACGTTTTCGGAAATAAGTCGGCGTCTTAACGACCAAAATAGGATCCATACCGGGAAGTTGTTGTACCTGTTCCTTTCCAGACCCTTCTGATACACTTCAGGTGGTAGAATAGGAATTTCAGTATAAGGAAAATTTGGTACGTCATTGGTCTTGGTTTGAAAAACTTGGCGAACCGTGGTGTCGACATTGGTAGTCGGTGAAACCATGTCGAGTAGTTCCTTCGAAACGATGTCACCAGGGTCCAATAAATTAATAAGCACGCAAGCTCTCTTCCATGACAAGGGGTTCTTGAATCCTTTGGTGTGAATGTCCGCGGCCATTTTAGAAGTAACCTCGTACATTAATACGTAGTTCTCCCTTGTAAAATGTTCATGGAGGGATGTTATGGCTATGCCATGGGTCCTCTCAAGATGCCGCATAGTGGGGTTAACGACCCGACCTGACCACACCGATCATGCCCTGATTGTCATCATGAAACAATAATTTGGGCGATCTCCCTGTCAAAGTTTCCCAAATACTTAATGCAGGTAGACCCATCGTTCGAAGTGTGACATCTGCTGCCACTATTTCAGCCTCAGGTGTGGAATGACTTACGCATCCCTGCCGTTTGCTGCCTCCAGACAATGGGAAACGGGTGTGTTGCCCTTGTATGTGCATATGAGACCCAGATGTTGATCTCAGACTTTGTGCACAACCTGCAAAATCTGCATCTGCAAATAAGGATAGTGATAAGTCATCAAATTTGTTGCCAACCCATCCAGTCATACGTTTTGATAAACTTGAGTTGACATAGCACATTAGATGATACAATTTTGCATCATCGTCGACTGTCCATTTGGTCACATTCCTGGCCAAAGAATTGATAGACCGTAACAAGTCGAACCGTGCGGTCCTGGCAGCGTAAAGCAACTTCATGAGCACGCTGGCAGCATGGGGCGCCAATGCGCCTCGTGCAGACTCCCCAGGAGAGACGTCTTCCCCCGTGGTTCCAGGTTTGTAGAACTCTGGAGCGTCTGGATCAAATTCGTGCGAACACCAGGGACAGGATACCTTCTTCTTGGGATCCCCTGGACATGGTGCCCTCGATTTGTGTTTCTTTGTTTCTTCTGGTAAACTTGGTGTTGATACATGTTTCAACTTTGTATCTTTTCCAACAATCTCAAGATACCTTTCAACTGACAGTTTCAACAAACCCTCCATATCATAGGTCATAGTTGATACCGGGGTACCATCATGAAGTTTGGAAGATCCCTTGCTCAATATGCATCCCAAATAGAGTCCTAAATCAGTTTCAGGCTCAATGTTCAGCTTAGAGCGTAGCATCTCCCATCCCTTAGTCAGGCTCTCTTCCGGACCAGCCAGTTTCAGGTCATCAACATAAATAACCAATAATAATTGAAGCTTCTTGTGAAAGTACATTGACGGCCATTCTTCACCAACAGGGACGAAATCTAACTCCCGTACTTTCCGATCACAATGTTGTTCCCACATTGTACCTGAATCAGGATGACCATAGAGTGCTTTAACCAATCTCACTACTGGTCTACGGAACTTCCGGAAGTCAATGTCATCTGGCCATGCATCTTCAGGTAATTCTACCCAACATGGTGGTCCAGTGAGGACTGCTTGAATGTAAGCTTGAATGGCATCTGCTAGTTTTACACCATGGCCCGGCAAACATCCATAAAAATCTGCCCATCTCGATGCCTCAAAGGTTGCAGGAGAGTTGCCCAGGTCCTGGAAGAAGGCAGCCTCCCAGAACTGGTTCTTGACCTGATTGCCTAGCAATACTCCTCGTCCTTTAAACTTCCTGCTCGGGTTCCCTTTAGGCAACTGATAATTCTTCTCAACGCAGATCCCATGGATCCTGGCCATGTGTACCTCAGTACCATTCTTCTTTGCTTCTCGAACAACATCATCGTACTCCCTGACCACGCTGAAGTCATACACTCCAGCAGCATGTTGACCTAGCCATTCCTTTCTCATGGCCTTTCTAGCTTCATCATTTTCCATCATCTCTTTTCTGGCAACTGGTCTTGCCACTGCCGTGTTGAACATTTTGTTAATGTTAATTCCACCATCATTTGTTTCAATCTTCTCTCGATGATGATCATATTGATGGATACACGGCATACAAGGAAATGAATGGAAGCTCTTGTTTTGACTTGAAGGCTCATGCACATTGGGTCCGGTAACATGTGATGTGGCTGTTGCTACTACCTTCCCCTGGCTAAAGTCGTACATGTGCTCATTGTTCCAAGTAGCCTTTGGGCCGCGCCCACTTTCAACCTCAGACCATTCGTCCCATTCGATGATAAAGTCGTCATCGGCTGGAACATCGGTGTCGGACGATGAAGAAAGGGTTTCATGATTAGTATTAGTCCCGCTCCCGATGGGAGTTGAGGACGTCTTACCAAATTGAAATACTTTCCCTCTACGGACATGGTCTTGGGGTTTGGCTACACCTGTGATGTGGTCATCTTCTTCACCTTTTGATTTTGACTTAGATGATTTCTTGTCTTCTTTCTTCTTCTTCTTTTCTTCCCTCGCCTTGATCAACGCGTCGCTCTTCTTCTTCTCCACTTCAGCCTCCGCTTTCTTCTCCTCGGCCTTGGCGATACTCTTCCGAACATCAGGTGATATCTTCCGCCATTCTTCTGGAGAGTACTTGGATGGCCTTGTAGTGGATGAAATTCTCCGACGACCGCGTTCATCAATTCGATAGGGATGGCCACGAGAGTTGAGTTTGACCCATTCACCATCATCGTTCAGGTAGACAACTCCGTCACCTGCTTTCCCTACGGAGTAGTGTTCAGGACCTCCCTCGGGAATGTCAAGGTCAGGGTGAGCAGGTTTGTCGATACCTGGTGGTCCCATCCTCGCTGGACTGTCGAATCTGCCCAGCATTCTCTCGGCTTCAAGTTCGCCTTCAGACTTTTCAGGTAGGGCCTTCGATGAAGGTTGCCCACCATCGTCTCCTCTGCCACCGTCATCATCATCATCGTCATCAGGAGGAGGTGGTGGTAGTATCTCAGAGTTCCCATCCAATCTGTCTTTGACCTTCAGACCTTCAATGGTAACATTGATTCTTTCATACTCAGCTTTGCAAGGGAATTCCAAGGGTTCTTTCAATTCAACCTTTTCGGTGTAATGCGGTGTGCGCAGCTTTGCAATGGGTTTCCCAGCATCATATGCTAGGTTTTGTTTGGTCCAATCACATAGAGCCCACACACGGTACTTCCTCGACCAGTGTAGTCCCGGCCCCAATGAGTATCCAGCAAATACTCCAGGAATGCCCATTGGATCAAATTTGTGTTGTTGATCTCTGGCTCGAGCATCACTTGGTTTGAAGTACACTAATGCACCGAAAGGAATCATCTTCCCCTTGAATTCTTCCCCATGAAGCTTGCACCAAGAACTAACCTCATCATCATTGGGTTCGATGTTGAGCAAGTGACTGACACATCTAATGGCGTACATCCAAAAGCATGGAGGATGCCGGCCTCTAGTAGACATGTCGTAGTTGCTACCAACACGAACTGGTTGGTCCTCTCTGCAAGGGAGTTGTGCTTGGTCTTTCCGGCCAATGATGTATCCATGGGAATCTTCAAAGCTTTCATGGCCTTGTCAAACTGGGGTGCATCATCCAAGTATGCTTCACGGATCTTTCGTCGACCCATGAATTGCTTCACAGCTCTGATCACCGCATCGGTGTCCTTTCGAGCAGATGGGTAAGACTGTAACATTCCTGTGTATCGATCACGGATGACGAAGATGGTCTTGTCATCGCCATAGTCTTGTTCTGCAATTCGACGGTTGTCGACATAGTCAAACGTAATCAAGTCCCCGAACTTTGTGAGTTTGCGTTGAAATGCTCCTCTAAAGGTCTTCCTATGCTTCATCTTTGCACGCACGCATGACTCACAGTAAGGGTTCTTGTACCTATGGGTCAGCAAGTGGAGCTTCGACCTAGCTTCATTCTTGAGTGTTCCTCTTTTGCTAAGTCTAACCCCTCCATCTTCTTCATCCACGTCGATGACATCATCATCATCTTCACGTGCTTCACCTTCAGGGATTTCTTCGACTTCTACGTCATGCTCACCTTCTTCGGCGTCTGGGCCAATGCTTGGTTCGTATTCATCATCGTCGAACTCGGCATACTCATCACCACGGTCATCAGGTTCATCGTCATGGTATGCCATTTCCTCGACATAGTCAAGATCACTTCCAACAGCAACTTCGGGCAAGGTCCTGTTCCTTTTCCTTTTAGCTTTCTTGGGTTTGCCCTTCTTCGGTGACTTACCATCCGACCGCCGGACGATGTCGGTTAGGTCTTCAAGCTCATCACCGCTTTCACCGTCAATAACCATCATATTTTCACTCTCAGATGTGGAACAATCATCACTGATGATGTTGAGGATCTTGGAAATCTTTGACGATGTTCCTTTCTTCTTCTTCTGGTCGATGTTGATGTAAGGGATGTAATCTCTGACAGTCATCTCGATGATGTCACCATTGGAATCGATCATGTATGGGGTTTTCCCTGATGGCCAAATGAATGAGTAACCAAGATCAACGCAACGTTTTCCCATTGACATCACTGAAGGTGTGTCCTCCAAGATATGTGCCTGGGCAGGCTCGTCGAAGGCTTCGAACTTGATGTCAGAACGTTTGGTTGAACTTGTGACGCCATTGGCAGTGTGGAAGTTCACCACTGCGTCGTCATATGTTGGCAGATCCATCCTGTCAATCTTCATGGCGGATATTAGGTCGTGTCCGCTACCAGAGTCCATAATGAATCTCTTGTCCCGTTCTTCAACTGGGACCGTGATGCACATGACGTTGTCCCTCTTCCCATAGCGCCCATCAATATGTTGGACATAGTTCTCAACGAAGACTTCACGTGTGACGTCATCATCTTCCTGCTCAACTTTGATCACAATGTCCAATGTTGGGCCAATGATAATAAGGACTTCATCAATGTCACGGAAATCATACTTCTCATCCAGAATAATAGCCATTGCTTTTCCACGACTTCGAGCAAGTCTACAAGAATAGGCCCACTGTTCATCCTTTCTAATTTCATCAGTGGTTCTGCCCAATTTGTTATGTCCTTTGGAGTGAGTTTGGGACTTGCGCGAACTCTTCACGTAGTCCTTCTTCTCGTAGACGTGGATCTCATCTTTCTGTGGATTAAACTTGACCTTCTTCTTCACCACATTGGAGGCGATCATGAAGGGTGGTTCATCCACTTCACTGTCGTCATGAATGAGTGCAGGGGCTGCTTTCGATGATGGAGATTCAGTGTTTGGTGCAGTGTTGAACAAGTGGGCATCATGCCGCTTGTTGCACTTGTCACCATACCGACATTTGCCCTTTGCCCAGTGCCAACATGGTTCGTCGATCTTCTTGGTCTTGTTGGCAGGAGATTGTCCTCTTGGTGTCTTACCACCTCCTTTACCATGTCCACCGCTCTTGCTGGAGTCAAATGTCTTTTGATCATGACTGTATTCACAGTCTTTACCTTTTCTGCAAGATTTCTTGATGAAATGGAAGTGACATGGTATCTTCTTCTTGTCACGAGGACTGGCGCTTCGGCTCTTTGACTTTCCTTTCCTTCCTTGTCCTTTTCCTTTGGCATGTTGCTTTGGCTGAGGTGATGGTAGTACAGGAGCAGCATCAGCCTTCGCTTTGGGCTTTGGAGCAGCCTTCTCCTTGGCGTTGGCCTTTGCCTTCGCTTTGGCATTTGCATCAGGAGGAGCTGGAGTAGTAGGAGTAGGCGCAGTCGGCCTACCTCCGCCGGCAAAATCTCTGGCATACTTTTCCCTGGCCGCGACATGCTTGTCTTCTCTGATCCTGGCAATGTGGCGTTCGATTGCATTGATGAGATACTGATATGTCCTCCTGGAATCCCCTTCCAACCATGATTCATATTGCTTGATGTCGTACATCATCAAGTTGGAATTTCTGATCTTCTTATACAATGCATCACGTAACCAATCATCTTGAGGTACGTCCTCAGGCATCATGTTGGAGACAACCTCCATCCACTTTTCATAGAACGTTTCAATGTTGGCATCACCCAGATATCGTGATTGAATGATATGCTCCATAGTGAAGGCAGTTTCACGTTGACCTGGTGTCCTGAAATGTTCCAGAATCATGGCAAGAATCTCTCGTCCCATGACAAATGTTGCTCTTCGATTGCTGGCCTGGGTCCTCAATCTAAGCTTGATTGCCACATGTCGAGCTACATCACCAGCTTGCGAGATAACGTTGGACAGTGCAATAGAAAGCTTTGCATCGATAGACTGGAACCTCTGTCCGCCGCTGTCGTTCAGAGCATCGATGTCAGGGTTTTGCCTGAGTGCTGGTTGTAACCAAGCTTCCCATGCGGCTCGATCGCCGTCGTTGGCCGCGAGGCATACACTTTTGATGAGATCAGATTGCCAAACACCTAAATTCTGGTGCTTTGGCCATGGGCTGATGTACACCTTGTCCGCTTCTCGTCTGGATATCCTCGGAGGTTCCTCAGCAGTGAAAGCAGTTGTGGACTCCAAATCAATTGTTGAATCCCTCTGTGATCCTCGAAGCGAAGGCAAGCCAGGTGGATTAGGAGGTCCGGGAGGTCCATTAGGATCAGGCGGTCCACCAGGAAAATCAGGATCATCGTTGCCGTCAGGCCTCCGATAATCGGGAACTCCTGCTCCCTCATCAACACTAACTCCTTTCCCGTCCAGAATCTTCTTGTTGACCTCACGAAGGAGCTCAGACACTCTTCGATTCTCGGAATGCGATGGTTGTTGATGTGATTGCCCTGTACCTGCAGCAATGTTGGAATGAGCCGTTGCGGATTCTTTGTTGAGTTCATCATCAAGCTGTCGAATCCATGCCCGTAATACATTTGACTCATCATTTGCTGCCTCAATATCACTTTCCAACTTACCGATGATCATGTAGGGTGACAGGCCACTGTTTGTGATACCTGCAGAGAAGGGGAGTGCGTTGAGACTCTCTTGGCTTTTGGTGGCTATTTCAGCATCTATGAGACTCTTTCTCAATCTTGATATCTCTGCATCTTTCACCACCAATTTCTCATCCCTATCCCTCAGTTCACCCAAGTATTCACATGATCGTTCGTATTGTTGGGCTCCTGTGGCTAGCTTGAATTTGCGTTCACTCTCAAGCTCAGTCCTGAGGATAGCAACCTCGGATCCGAAGGGGGTCGCTGACCCTTGCCTCGAAGCCTCGGCTAATTCATCCTTCAGCCTGATATTCGTGTACATGCATTCATCCATTTCTTCAGAAAGATCCTGGGCCCTAACCTGTGCAACCTTAACCTCGGTTTCAAGATGTTGAATAGCAGCTAGGTTAGAACCGTGGCCGATGGCCATTGGGCCCTCCTGGAGTGACCGTCTCAGTTTCACGTTTCGGTCCTCGATCTCGGTCTTGAGCTCATTCGTCAGCGCTCGCTCGTTGTTGTAGAGCATTTCATAGTGTTCCATCTTCTCGCGAGCATTTGAGCTGACGCTGGATTCGAACCTCAAGTGAGCAATTGCCTCAGCCTCAGTATTCCTGTAATTGGCGAACCGTTTGACTGTATCATGTTCTGTGTTTCTATGACGCAGATCACTCTCAAGCTTGGCATTGTTTGCTTCATTGATTTTCTTACGATACTCTCTAGTGATCTGCTCCATGTTGTTTTCATACAGTTCGGCTTGTTTACGGGAATGGATGAGTGCTTCGCTCAGCATCTGGTTCTCACCATTGAGCTCATTAACTGCAAAGGCTTGTCTCTGACTTGTCATCTCCAAATGAGTATGTGAGAAGTTTGCCAGTTCGGATTGACTTCGATACTCCACTATGGAACTCTCAAGGTTTCTTTGCATTTCATTCCCTTCCTTGTACAATGTTTCGGCTACACTTCTAGCAAGGCTACTGTCATGTTGCATTTGTTGAAGACGTGATTCAGTATTCCCAAGTAGTCCTTGAAGATGGTGTACCTCATCCTTGTACTCTTCCTGGATCTCAAGACCACGTTCTTGGATTCGTCTGGCACCATGCTCGGCAAGTGCACCTCGACGTTCAAGTTCTTCAATGCGGATAGTAACAGCTTCATCTTCCTTAGAGGCCCACATCAACTCAGCATGGTATTCAGATACTTCATTTGTTGAGTACATCAATCGTCTGTTGAGGATGTCAATTTCATTGAATACCTGTTGATTATGTCCGCGAAGATATTCGGTGAACTTGGCCTCTATGTCCCTGATGACTTGGTCCCTTGAAGCAGCGTACATTTCGGATTGTGCTACTTTCTCTCTCAAGGTTTGACATTGTTCTCTAAGCTCTTCTATCATAGCTATTGGTTCACTGCTACCACGAGCTTCTGTTGATCTTCTTTTGGCACTAATGTCACTTGACTCCCTACCAGGTTTGTCCTCGACTGCCCTCGGGGTCCTGTGTCCGGTAGGTGTCCTTCTCGGTGATCGGTGGCTTCGTCGTGCAGTTCCACTCCGAGCCACATCACGTGCCGATCTTGGAGTACTGGTGGTTGATGCTCTTCGATGTCTAGAAGTCATCTTGTGCCATCCAGATTTCGTCGTCCTTATGGACTTGTCCCCGCTATCAGCTGTTCCCGGAGAAGATTGTGAAACACCTTCTGCGGGAGCTGCGGCGTTGCCATCAAATGTGAACTGCGTTTCTCCGCTGTCGCCTTGCATCTTTGCGATGCGGGTGCTGACCGGATTTCACGGTCCTTTGCACCTGACGTTGGTTAACAGCACGCAGGTACTCCGCCCCCGATGGGGGTTAAGAGCCCTTACGGCTGATAACCTGCGAACAGATTAATCCCTGTTCCGGATATGTGGTTTACTCACTTGTTTGAGTTCCTGCTGTGCCGTTTCCAACGTTTCATGCGATCATAGCGGAAAGCAGCGGTCTTTTGTTTACTGCGTTGGGGTCTTGAGCCAAACATTGCGTTTGGCCGAAGGTCCATTGAAATATGTGGGAATGAGTTATGCTGTACTCCCACCTAGTCCCCATTTGCAGATCTATTAATGTCGGGAGCATCGAAAAATCTTAGGGAATCGGATTATATTATGATTATATCATATTACTATTATATTATATTCCCAAATCAGTTCATTTACCAATAATCAGTTCAACAAATCCAGGTCAGGGTCGCAACTAAAGGGCCTCCCTGATACATCCAGACTACAGCTGGAGCTGTGCACCATCATCATCACCATCATCATCATCATCATCAGTATCTGCACCAGCATTTTGGCTTGCATCCGCCTTAATAATAATAATAATAACAATAACAATAATAATAATAATATATATAATAATATATATATTAAGCAAATAAATAAAAAAATGAGTGTATATACATATAAATATTTTTACTCACACACACGCATATATATATATATATACACAGTATATCCATCGCATTCAGTTCCTCCAGGTGATTCAAAGAGATTCAAAAAGATTCAAAAACCAACGCTGCCCAGCCACCAATGGCCGGATCCCTGGCAACATGCTCGCCGCGCGCGTCAAGTTGTAATCTTCCTGGGTTGTGTCAGCCAAACTTTGTCCAGTGAGTTCAGGCGCGTCAAGCCGCAACCTTTCTTTCCATGCCAGGTGGCAGTCTCAGTGATGAAAATAGGGCCAAGACTGGGGTGGGTGCCATACACGAAGTTCCTCGCTTCAAGCCACGGAAAATGCATCATGGCCATGGACGCAGGAACCAGGAACCACAAGGAACAACCAGGAACTGAGGAGCCAGCAAGTTGCCACCACACAACAGTTCTCGAGCATGTTGAGCCTTTGGGCTTCCAGACTTCAGGAGCTGGGTGGGTTCCTAGTCCTGTCGCATCCAGCAATCACATGAAAAAAAACTCGCTGGAGTATCATCCCATTCAATCAGTAGTGAATCAATCAGTAGTGAAATGTAGTGAATAACCCTGGTATAAACCTGGCTTCGTAAGTCCCCATTCAGTGGGCTTTCACTTCCATGGGATGATCCCCATGGCGCCTGCAGGGCGTTTTGATAGATACCGTAGCGGCAGAAGAGGACCACGGTGACCACCAACACGAGCAGCTTCATGATGCTGGACCTTAGCATGGCTAATGGGCACTGGAAAGATTATAAATAATGTCATTAATGATAAGATTAAAAGGAATTAAATAGATAATGAATGATAATGATAGATATTATGCACCGTGTAGTATGCATGATAACATATACGTAGAATATGTATGCTACGATGGTATACGTATAGATATGCGGCATGCCGCATGCCGCATATGCCATACCCCATGAACTTTGACGGTTCCAAGGGGGACAATCATTGAACCCAGAACTCAGTGACATCCAATGGACACTCAATGCGCAGCTTTGACTTTCTGTCTGCGGTCCAGGTGTCAGGTCCATACCAGCCCAGGTCTTCCTGGAACATTGGGGTGGCAGCACCGACTCCTAACCCACACTTGATCACTATAGCCTGCAGCCCCAACGCCGTAAAAAGATCGTACTCACTTCAGTCCGATAAAATGATCGCAGTGAGCGTGCCAATCCCCTCACGAAATGTATGAACACTACACCATTGGAATCTGAACCCACCAATCCTTCGTGTATGTGGGACATCCGGAGGAACCAGAACGAACAAGAATTGGCGACGGGCAGCTGCATTCCAGTGGTCAGGGCTCATGACAAACACTTGGCTGGTTTAGTGGGGCCAAAGATCGCAAGAAATAAAAAGGTGCAAACAAAACCCTCTAATAAAAAACATCTTGGATTATATAGATCAAAGTTGCGCAGGCAAAAACTATAAAGAGAATCCCCCCCCAATCCCCAATATAAAACACCCCCCAGAAACCATGGCTTAGATTGGCTTAGTAGGGGATTTACACGTTGACCACGGAAGGTGGGCATTTTTCATGTTAGGATGGGATTAAATCCCCATGAATTCGCCATTCTCGTGGCCAAATAGCTATTTTTCATGGTTATACCCGTGATATCCTTGCGATGGGTCCACTGAACAACCCCATCTGCAACTTGGGTGTGCCTGTCAGCCCCACCTGCTTCCAACCTCGAACTCCCGAATGGAATGCAAGTATTGCATGGCGTGCTTGGGGGCCAGCACCTTCAAAGGGAGGTGGAACACCAGATTTACATCTACTGACTTGGAATCTTTTCGTGGATTTAGAGGCACATTTCTTAACAAAAATCTGGCAACTTAAAAATTGAGGCCAGAACTTGTGGTCCTCAGCACTTCCGTCCACTTGTTCTCGCTTTGAGAACACCTACAGTAACTCTCAAGCCCTTTGGACCCATGTTGGCCTTGTAAAGCAGGTCATCAATTTCAAGGATGAACAGAAGAGCAACGGCATTCAGCATGATGTTGGTGACATCACCTCAGTATCAACAAGGCACAAGGGCCCCATCCCTTTTGACTGATTTATTAAACACGATCAAATGCCAAAATCTGAGGTTCCCAGTTACCAGGTCGCCCTCCCACAATCAAACATAGCAATGGAAATTCCCATGACATAAAACCTCGGTCCATCTATGGGGATTCCCCGATGACCAAAGGGTAATCTGCCCTAATTCCCCGCGGACACCCCATGTCGGTACTTCCGCATCCACCCCTTTGCTCCCAACAAGGCAGCCTCATCCTTTGGCATGAAAATTATAGTAATGTGATGTAATGTGTTCTCCAGTCATATTGATCAGGGTCCTCATTAAATTCCCAACTTCCGTCATGTCTCGCCCAAACAAATGTCTGACGAGGAACGAGTTTGACACAGCCACATCCCTCCTGAAATGCCCAGCATTACCGCAATGCTCGACCGCGCAGCAACCACACCGCTCAGCAAAATCAGACCTTGGACGCACCGGCCAAAGCCTGAAGATCCAGATTAGCCAGATTAGCCGCCCAACCACCCAAGATTAACAATTCACAAATCATGGCGGAACATTGACCCCAAAAAAACTGGTGAATTGATCCAAGGGTTCATCGGGCCGATAGTTTGGAATTGACCTGACATCATGAGAACAAAAAACGCGAGCCAGGAACGACGGCAGCTGATGGATTCGATGCAACGTGTGCCCTGCAAGTGCTGGGGCTGGGGCAATCCTTGTGGGGTTTTCTGTGCTGAAACCAGCGTGCGCAAATGGAGCACACCAAAACAGCCATGTTACGTAGGAAAATGATGATCATCCGTCAAATTTGGGGGGTACCTTATTTTCAGACAGACCCAAGTGCTTAGATAAGCGCCCCAGCTGGGGAATGGTTGATCATGGTTGATCACCATCCTGCATCGCCATGAGTCACGTTGTCAGTCGGATAAATATGGATGAACGTGACTTGGGGGAGAGGAAGGGTATGCCGGTCTGCGTGTTGACTTTTACCCCGGCCACAATCCCGGAAACATTCCTTTCGTATCCTTTCCCTGTCTTCCTTTGCCCTTCCCCAGGCCCATCCCCAACTCCTTCTTCAGGGAGACATGGGTCGTGCCCCGCGGCAAGCGGTAGATAGCCGATGCAAAACTGCCCACTTGCTGCAGCTCGGTGCTGATGTGGCATGCCTTGGTTGGGCCACAGCTGGGAATGGATGGAAATGAGGTGTTCCCAAGATGGTGATGCTGGACATGGGGAAGATATGGGAAGATATGTCCACGTTATCTGGGCCACTTCAAGGTCCTTCTTTCCATCATTTTAAATTCGCAATTTCATCAGAAAACGTTCAAAAGGGAAGCCTTCGAATCTTTTACTGTCACTCCATTTCACTCGCATCTCCATCGTGGAGCTGAGATGCCCAAATCATCAAAGCCATTGAGCAAAGGACTACTCCTATGGTGAAGCCTCAGGTCTCATTCAGGTGCAGGGGCTGGTTGGCTGGAATTCTGAAGGTTCGAGGTAGAAACTCAAAACTTTTTGAAGCTCTCCATACTGCATGCTTTTGGAAACGCTTGGGGAAGGCATAGTTTGACCGTGGGTTTCAAGCATAAGCGGCCTTTAAATGAACCCATGACTTCTTGGTGAAACGATGGCATATCCCGCCTGGCAGGTTAGCGAAGACTGGACGCAGGTAGGAATTGATCTCGTTGATCAAAGCCTGGGGGGCGCTACAATGGATAAGAGCCTGTATCTCATGGAAGCAAACAATACCTATGCTGATTCGTTCGTTCAGCATCCGTCCTTGCCTTCTATGAACATGGCCCAATCTTTGGATGGTCTCTCAGGGTGGTCCAGTGGTGGTTCCAGATCATCGATGAGGCGCCCAGACGCCTAAAGTTATATTTTTTGAAGACTATTTTGGGATAGTTTGGGGTTCATGATGATTCCTTGAAGAGCAGCGGCGAGGGTTTAAAAAATTCTATTGGAACCGTTGGACTGGGTATCATTTCACCAGCTGGACGATACAAAGCCATACAAAGCCCAATCTCTGTCAACGATGCACTTTCCAACAAATTGATCGAGCCACGTTGTTCCAATATTCTCTATCAAAGGGTCGGCCTTGACATACCTTGCTCACCAAAGATGCTCCTGCGGGATCGTTGCAGTAGCTGAGGCACATGGCACAACTCCGTAACAAAATCTGCCAAACCTTACTGCCAAGTTTAGGACTGAGATGTCGCCATTCAAAAAAAGGTTGCCAACTTTCAGGTTGAGAAATGGTGCGCAACTGTTATTTCATGTTTTTTTTGGTTTTCCTGTCCGCGGTGTGGAGGTCATGTAATTCCCCAAACAGTGTGTCCACACTGAGGGGTTCTTACGGTAAGAGTAAAGGCCAGCGCTTGATCAGGGTGCTCACTCTGGGCTCGGGTGGGCTACGGCATTTTGCCTGTAAATCTCCGCGCGAAGTGGCTCTTGTGAAATGTCCAAGTGCATTTCGACTGCGCGGGTTCGCACAAAGTGTGGGTCCCGGTCTTGAGATCGGTCCTCCTCCTCAACATCATCATTTTCCTCTTCCTCAACAACAACAACAACAACAACATCATCATCATCATCATCATCATCGTCCTCATCATCATCGTCATCGTCCTCATCATCATCATCATCATCATCATCATCCTCATCATCATCATCATCATCTTCTTCCTCCTCCTCCTCATCATCATCATCCTTTTCAACATCATCATCCACTTCATCTTCCGCATTATCATCCTCGTCCTCATCATCCTCAACATCATCGTCGTCATCATCATCATCGTCGTCATCATCATCATCATCATCATCATCATCATCATCATCATCATCATCATCATCATCCTCATCCTCAACCTCACCATCCTCATCATCATCATCAACAACAACATCATCGTCCGCAACATTCTCCTCCTCATCATCATCAACAACAACAACATCATCGTCCGCGACATTCTCCTCCTTCTCCTCCTCCTCATCATCATCATCATCAACAACAACATCATCGTCCGCAACATTCTCCTCCTCCTCCTCATCATCATCAACATCAACAACAACATCATCGTCCGCAACATTCTCCTCCTTCTCCTCCTCCTCCTCATCATCATCAACAACAACAACATCATCGTCCGCAACATTCTCCTCCTTCTCCTCCTCCTCCTCATCATCATCATCAACAACAACATCGTCCGCAACATTCTCCTCCTCCTCCTCATCATCATCATCATCAACATCAACATTATCATGCATTCTCCTCTCACTCCTCCACACTGTTTGGGGTTGCCGGGATATTTTTTCTAAATGGTTTGAAATGCCAATCCCTCACGCGAACACCTCAGCCGTCGCTTAGGCAATCCCGGGATCCAGGTATAAAGATCGCACAACCAGCCAATCGAACATCATCAAACATTCCAAAACATTGAACCGTGAATATCCACATTGTTGCTGCCCAATATTGCCGATATTGCTTGATGCATCGTTTGATTACCAACGGGTATCCTATTTAGTTCCATAATTGACCCATTAAACGATTAGACTGTACCATTAAACTACCACTTACCCTCCAGGTATTAAACATGGCTAAGGAAAATGGCCATCAATGGCCCATCTAGTTAGATGGTGTACCGTGATGTAGCTCTTAAGAATGGTGATTGCCCATAGCCGCTTTAGCCCATAGGACCCCCCCTGAGGCGGCCTGAGGTGTGATCATAAAAGTTGACACTGTGCCCATAGAGCACGCGCCACTCTCGGAGATATGCCCTCGCAGAATGAGAGATATGACGCTTATCATGGCTCAAAATAGAGGTTAGTGTTCAAAGATGCAAGGAGAAAGGTTCCATAGCAGGTTCGCAGGTTATGCATGTCGAGCGATTCCAAACTGGAAGAATCAAACATTAACATCAACTCATCAACCCAAAGCGGAAAAGAACCAGGATCATCGTAGCCGTAGCCAAATCAATTGGAAATCGAAATCTAGCACTTATATGCACTATATATGTATGTACTTGCCCCACCTGAGACCAATACTGGCGGTCCAATCATATCGAATCTGATATGTGCGGTTTCGTCGTTTTGGAATCGTAGCGCCATACCGCCAAGACACAGGTCGTATTTGTTATCGTTGCCGAGAAAGCAGGTGACCACAATCCAGCAGAAAAGAAGTTGAAGGAGAAAACTCACCTCAGTCATTCAAAGATATTCAAAGTGACCGCAAATCCCACATGATCCCACTATGGCCTGTCACTGATCGGGAAAAGAGCTGAACGGGACTCGCAAGTCTTGAGATTCTTGAGTCATCATCTTCGCTCATCATCTTTCCAGTGTTCAAGCACCCCATGTTTCGTTCATAAAACTGACTGATTGGTGTGTAAATTCCTGCTCCCATACCAGGTTTCACTGCCCCAGGGTTGTACGCGTCAGGTTCTCTCAAACCAGCGAAATATTGGGTCATCTCCTGAAACATCGCAGCTCAACATCCTCAACACCTTCCTTCATGGAAATCATGGAAGTTGGTTAATTGTGGTAAGTAATGTGGCAGACCTGAGTGGGCGCACCCTTAGAGTTCCCCATGGGTCCCAATTGGGATGGTTTATTGGGACCTTGCCACTAGCTCCAAGCGGCTGTCACTCCGAAGAAAATCATCAGCGAACCTGCAAATCCAACTTCATCAAGTCCTTCAGCCAAAATGCACGAACAAAGCGTGTGTATGTTCGTCTAGGCGCACGTGGATAAGAAAATTATACAAGCAATTATAAATGGGAAAAAACAATTAAATTACCATATAACCATCATAACAATAATAACAATATATAATGTATGCGTGTGGCGCCTGCGAACATGGTTCACCTACTTGGACTAACTAATCAAAGGAAACTTGAATCGCAAACTTCCGAGTTACGGACGAATGTCCATGGTCAGTCTTGTCATCATGTCAAACGCAAAGGCAGCAATAGCAGATCGCAGGTGAGAACAGCAGAGGAAAGGAACACTTCGAGAGCGCGGGAATATGCGTGAATTCACTGGTGGAAACACTTTTGGGCACGAAATCCTGTGTTTTGACAGGTATGGTGGCTTCTGGGGCCGCGACAGTATGCGAAATAGGGTCTGCAGTTCAAAACGTTTGAAAAGTGATGCGCTCGGATCACTTTTGGAAGATGAGGTCGGAAATGTGCACGAGACAGTAGCGAGAGCCCGACCTCACACAAAAATCGTAAAAACATCTATCACATTCGGAGCAGCGCGGAAAAGTCCGCACTGTTGAAGCTGGGCGCACTGCTATGCGGGTGTGCAACCGGCTGTCACAAAATGCATTGCTGCGCGCAAGAAAGCGTTAGTGATGCTGCCACTCTCCTGCTATACGGGATTGCAGCTGGAGATTGCTAAACGCACTGTAATGGGTGCAAGAAAGGTAGTTCGAGCATAGTTCCACGTTTGTGCCATATGGGAACGCAGCTGGAGGGGAGGTTGCAAATCGCACTGTGCTGGCTGCGCGAAGGGAAGAATCGGGTTGAAGAAGCTACAGAAGAGGTAACTGAAAGAGGTAAGTAAGCAGTTCAGAGCAAAAGCAGGTCAGAGAAGAAGTACCTAAGTCACAATGGGTTTGGATGATTTGGGGTGCCCCCCAATGACTTAGAAAACCTCCAAAAATAAGAACTGCCCAATTTCTTTCGGGGGATGAAGCTCCATAAATGTCATAAATCCCCGCATGAATTGATCTTCACCGGAACCCAGGCCCTCCTGCGAAGAGCGTGGCATCCCAGAAGGATTCGACCAAGGAATGGGTGGTATTGGTGGTGGTCAACGTCGTCATCTTCTGAAACGTCTGGCCAGTCATTGCGCGCCTGCCACTGGGCCCACTGGGCATGGCGCTGACATAACGGGAAGAACCAATGGAGTCCTGACAGAATGGAAGTAACCGCTGTCTCAAACCACTTCAAGAATGTAAGTGTTTGTTGGGTTCATTATCCACAGTGGATATATATATAATATATATATATATAATATAATAATATATATATATATAAACATATATATATATATACTCAGTATTCCTTTCGGGGGGTTTGAAAAATATTAGCAGAAAATGTGAAAACCAGGTGCCACAGTTGCAGAGAAACGAATGATGTTTCTACTATTGTTTTTATCATCATGATTCTTATTAGTACACCTCAAAGCAGCGTGCACATAAATCTTATAGCTGGGCATCATATTCACAATGATTCTAAGAGAAAACAATGGAGGCGCACTAGTAGCTGCTCTGAATTGCCGAACATAAGCAACAGAAGCTGGTAGTCAAACCATCGAGAAATTGCAGGATGTTTGCATTGTTGGTTCGTGGTGACGATGCCCAAGACTTAGTTTTAATTCTGGAAAAGAAAGTGCGTGGGTCAATGAATGGTGGCTTTAACCACTAGCAATGTGCCAGAAACATTTTTAGTTGACAACATTTAACTTTTGGCGTGGTTGTCAGTCCATGCTCGCCATTTACTTGAAAGTGACGATTAAAAGTTGTACCTGTCGTTTCGTTTTTATGATTCACCATCATCCGCGCAATGATTCCGCGGTCATGGTTCCAAGTGATCACAAAGATGGGGTTGCGTCATGCTGTCAGCGATTGACTCAGATACACCCAGGACATGACTATTCTTTAATTTTACTGTCATTGGAAGCATCACCCATGATGGTAGAAGCAGACAGAGAAACGATCCACCGCCATCAGCCAACACTTGCAAACAAGTTGTCAGGCTGCTAAGCTGGGGCCCCCTTTCTGCTTTCGCGGCGGCGACTCACTCTACCAGTCCGGCTGATTCACTGAATTACTGGCTATGTAATTCCCATAGTTGTGTGCACTGGTTTTGGCGCAGGTTGATCAATTGCATTGGTGCACGACGTTCATTGGTGGCAACACTGATGAATATCATCAAATACAACTGCATGCATGTCAAACGGCATCGTGATTTGCTTGTCAGCATGCTGATGATGGAATTGAGATACCAATTCGATGAGTCCCAAGGGCAAAGCCTTCACTTGCGCACTTAAGATTTCACTCACTTGCGCACTTACCCTCACTTGCGCACTTAACCACAAAATTTCACTCACTTGCGCACTTATGGGGAAGGGGTCGCATAGGGAACAAGGGGAGGGGGGTGGGGGGGGGGGGGTGGTCGCATAGGGAACAAGGGGGGGTGGGGGGGGTTTGGGGGATGGGTGCATAGGGAACAGGGGAAGGGGGCGGGGTAGGGGGCAAGGGGAGGGGGGAGAGGTCGCATAGGGAACCAGGGGAGAGGGGTGGGGCATAGGGGACAAGGGGAAGGGGGGCATTGGGAACAAGGGGTGGGGGGTGGGGGAGCGGGTCGCATAGGGAAAAGGTGGAGGGTGGGGGGGCATTGGGGTTGCATTGGGAACAAGTGGGGGAGGGGTCGCATTGCCAAGGGGAGGGATGGGTCGCATTGGGAACAAGGAGGGGGAAGGGCGAGGGGTGGGGATCGCATTGGGAAAGGAGGGGAAGGGGGGAGGGTCGGGGGGGTGATGTAAATTTTGGCACACGTGTTTACACAATGCATGTATAGTATTGGCATATATGACATGAGCCCGATGAATTCATTCCCACTGCCACTCCGTGGCTCAAGAATTGCTTGCATAGCTTGCAGAGAAAAGGTGCTGCGTCCCTTTAAAACCAAAGCGTGGCTGTGCCCCGTGGCACAGGAGTCTTGAACCCGAATATGATTGACCACAAGATCGTAAGTGCACAAGCGAGGAAGATTGCAAGTGCACAAGCGAGGCAAATCACGAGTGCACAAGCGAGTGCTCGCCCGTCACAAGCGTGTTCGGTGTGCAAAGGCCATAAGTTGCCAGTACTAGACATATATTGTCAGCAACCTATAGTAGACAGGCATGACTGTTCTTAAGTCATTGCTAATGTCTCTTCAAGATCAAGCCAATTCAATCTATGCTCTTTAAATCAGAAGTGACAAAACTATGGACAATCAAGGGGCTGGCAAGGGAACAGCCACTAACAAGAGTTTGCAAGGGAAAGCAAAATTCTTGTGACCTTGACAGCGTCCCCTACCTGAATTTACCACGGAAAAAATGATCAAAGCAATTCACTTTTGGGATATCATACCCACTATTTCACTGAACCACCAGCCCGTCTTACAAAACCTACTTGCGAGGGTCACATGTGAATGATGGTTACTGGAACAAACTGCGAAGTGACCAGCATCTACTTCATCGAAAGTCTTACTATGCTGACAAGAGAGAAACTTATCAATCAAGCAGCCATTACATTCGTCGAAAACATGTGCAACAAAGCCCAAGTACAACCAATGCAAGGTTGGAAAGCCAAAACAAAACACATTGTACGGTCACCCTTTTTTTGCCTTCCCGGAATCTCCAGGCTGTGAAGCAGCTGAGGTGGCCGAGGCTTCGAAAACCAGATCTAAACAGCACAAAGCTAGTAGATCTACACCCTGTCGAACGGTTCAAAAATTTAGAGTGAGATGAACTCAGTAAGGTGATGAGTAATGTTTCTGCATCTTGACTTGTCGAGCCTTTTTTTTGTGCTTAGATATTATGACCTGTCCTGAGGCAGGATGTTACCATCTGCAGTTCACATGTTGTATATCAGGATCGAATAGGTTCAACATGAAGTTGATTTGCAGGCTTGAAGTCAATTCTTTCATCTCACTGCCAGACTCACAATGGCTGCAGTCCTCAGCGCCGTTATCTTGGGATGGATGCATGGTTGGTTGGGTAGGCGGGCTGTTAGGTACGCGGTGGGTCGCATAATAGAAACTGACGAGGCTGTCTTGCCAAACAAAATGCAAAATCATGTAAATATAAGTTCTTATTTTGGTAGGCTGTTTGTATGAACCGGTAGAAGGTCGGGAATGTGACGAAGATAAATTACAAATTCTGACGTCTTGCGCTCTTGACTTGTAGCAAGGCCATAATTCCCTCAACCTGACTTCCTCTAGCGCTGCTGACCAATAAGAAAGAGTTTGTGACATTTGAGTACTACCAGCCCAGTCCTTCCTTCAAGCCTAATCTGCTTGCTTGTCCATTAATTAGCTGAGACCCATTGAGACCCTGGCAGGTTGCACATTCACCAGTCGGTCAAAAACACTACCTGCCCAAAATGGAGCTAGCGCATTCACAGCAGACATGTGTCACAGCAAAAAGAATTACTTTACTTCGTGTGATCCCCACCGTGACATTTTTACATCTTCTTACTGGCAAATCTTCTGGCATTCTATCTGACATATCTTCTGGCATTCTATCTGGCAAATCTTCTGGCATTCTATCTGGCATATCTTCTGGCATTCTATCTGACATATCTTCTGGCATTCTATCTGGCATATCTTCCGGCATATATTCTGACATATCTTCTGGCATTCTATCTGGCATATCTTCTGGTATATCTTCTGGCATATCTTCTGGCATTCTATCTGGCATATCTTCTGGCATATCTTCTGGCATATTATCTGGCAAATCTTCTGGGATTCTATCTGGCATATCTTCTGGCATATGTTCTGGCATATCTTCTGGCATATCTTCTGGCATATTATCTGGCAAATCTTCTGGGATTCTATCTGGCATATCTTGTGTCATTCTATCTGACATTTTATTTGGCATACCTTCTGGCATTCTATCTGGCATGTCTCATGGCATTTTATCTGGCATATCTTCTGGCATTCTATCTGACATTCCATCTGGCATATCTTCTGGCATTCTATCTGGCATATCTCATGAGGTCCGGCAGGGAACACTGGGCGTGGATACTCGCGGTTGAGGTCCGGCAGGGAACACTGGGCGTGGATGGTCGTGGTTGAGGTCCGGCAGGGAACACTGGGCGGGGATGGTCGTGGTTGAGGTCCGGCAGGGAACACTGGGCGTGGATGGTCGTGGTTGAGGTCCGACAGAGAACACTGTGGATCGCGGGTCGCAGTTGGACGAGGAGGACGAGGAGGAGGAGGAGGAGGAGGAGGACGAGGCAGGAGGAGGCAACTGACATAAAATCTAACAACCCTCACCTGGCAGGTGGGGAAAAACCAAACACCGACAACCAGGAGATCCAACATAATTGAAAATGGAATCCGTCAAAATAAAGAACAGCAAGAGACGCAACGTGTTCGGAACAGAAATGTGTCACAGGAATCAATACCCAACCGAACCAACCTCACAATCTGCTTTTGTCAAGTGCTCAATCTGTGCAGGCCGCTCTTCTGACGCAATGCTGTGCAAAAGTCGCTGGTTTAAACATAAGAACTAAAAACCATTGTGTCCTACGGGGTCCTACATGGAAAATGACCAAAAACCGTAAAAACTGCCACATCTCTTTCAATTTTCTTTCAAACGATTTGGTCACTCAAAATAATTTTAACAAGTTAAAAGCATTTTGCAACAATTCTTACAATTGCAGGATCCTGTTTCCCCAACACTGGATTCTAAAGTCATTATTGAATTACTTGGATTTGTGATGGCTTCCCTTGTAGCATCCTCTGAAGCTCAACTACCGTTGCATGTCCTGCATGGAAAATGCCAAGAAACCTGCAGTTTTCCTTCCAATTTCTCTCAAACCCCTTTCAAAATACTTGGTCGCTCAAAATGGAGCATTTGAAAGGCAAATTGCAGCAATTCTTACACATCGCAGACATTTCATTTGCCGAACGTTGAATTTAAATTCATTGAGTTTCCTGGCTTCCCTTGTAACATCCACTGGCTCAACTAACCTTGCGCGTCCTGCATAAGAATGCTCCAAAACCTGCAGTCCTTCTTCCATTTTTTCCCCACCTGCCAGGTGAGGGTTGCTAGATTTTATCAGAGATGCATCGCCCGCCGC